GACCTCAATTGTATGTGTCTGCGAGCAAATAATAATTATTTTGTTGTGTGTATGTTTACACAGCCGTAAGTTAGTCAGCCTCAATAGGTGTCTGGGGTTTCAGCTGTATAGATGAGCAATTTAGCCAGTGCAGTACAACCGCTAGCCTGGGGTCTTTAACGCGCCCCACGCAGTCGTGATACACGACTGCATGACGGAGTGGCGCCCATACAGATCGAAATGGCCAGGGGCGGGAATGGAACCCAGGATCCCTGAGTTCTGCAGCGAGAGCTTTCGCTCCACGCGCTCCGAGCTGAGATGCGCTAACACACTCGGCCACCGATGCCCTTTTGTCTGTGGGCTGGACGAAAACAAATTACACAGGGGCGCGTGGTGGAACTATACCGATCTCGTGGCCACACACTCAGACCGGCAGAAAGCCACTATAGATGGGGCTATGTTGGGCAGAGTACACTGCTTTGTTATATATATGCAAAAAAAAAATCAATTAGCAAGAGTATTGCCGGTTCGTAAAGCGAATTGACTACTATATTTTCAAAAGCAGAGCTCTACCTCAGCCAGGCTAGACCAATATAGCCGTGTAGCAGGAAATGTTTACTTGGTTACGCGCTGTTTCAGGCCATTTTCGAACTGAACGCGAAGGCACGTATATGTACTAGAATAAGCAATTTTAATCACTCCTTTTTGCACGAGGCATTGCGGTGCTGAATGTAAACAATGACTGTTAGGAAAACAAAAATTGTAATTTCCGTTGACGTTTTTTTTTTTTTTTTAATTTGTTTATGTGAGGTAGACTGAAAGGATTTGTTCCGAAACTTTCATTACATTTATAAAGTCCAATAATGATAGTTTGCGTTTATATCGTAAAACATATTGTTCTTGAAATATATTTCACGATATAAATATGCCAATGAGGTGTATAATATATAATATTATGTACCGCAATGAATACTTTATGTTAAAAGCATAACGCATGATTGAACTCTTAAGACTGTGACAAGTTGTAGCAATCACTGACATTCTAGGTGAATAAGCACTTTGTGACAATCGATTCAGCTAACCCATGCGACTGGGGTAAACAACTGAAAATTCGGTTGTATACACACGGCGTTTTATATTTTAATCTATTTTTTTTTTACTGCAGCGTCTACACTCTAAGAAATGCCTGCGCGTCTACTTACTCGCAAAACACTCAAAGAGCCAATCTTTGCGATCTACGAAATCAGCTCAGCGAATGATGAGGCGGGACATCTATTTAGACATAAAAATGCAGTCTGCGCTTTGGCATTACGCAATGCAAACATGACGCATTGCATTGCTTAATGACACAGCGCAGACTGCATTTTTAAGTCTAAACGAATGTCCCGCCTCATTATTTGCTGAGCTGATTTCCTAGATCGCAGAGATTGGCTCTTTGAGTGTTTTGCAGGTAAGTAGACGCACAGGCATTTTTTAGAGTGTAAGTAAAATAACGCAATTTTTGTCTTGTTTTTTCCTACTTAGAAATTAAAGTAAATTGTGCAAACAATAAAAAAAAAAAAAACTACCTGCTTTGCACAAAAAAGAAAACGCGGAAAGCATATTTAAACTTTAGCTGTTCAAACCGGATCGAACCGGTTTGAACCGTTATATTTGTTTTCCAGAGCTGAATCGGAACTGAAGTTTGTGAACCCGAACCCGAACCCAACTGATACAAATTTCGGTTCCACACTCTGGCAGAGATACTCCATAAAGTATTCGGCAATAAAGGTAGTGAGATGCGCGTATTTTAAGAGCAAAATACAGATACTGAGATACATAAATTTGTCTTTTATGAAACGGATATCCCTACGAGAAAAGGTATTCCGGGATACGGATACAGCGATTTCTAAGAAGCGAAAGTATGCAGGCGGCCTGGTTAGAAAACATCATAATATAAACACTGAGGCACGTTAGTATACTCCAGACTTGTACCGTACGCATTACAAGTAATAAAATTACATGTAATCGATTACTTTTTGGAGTAATTTTGTAATCAGTTGATTACTTTTATTAGGCAGTAATCACAAGGGTAATCTGATTATTTTTTGAAGTAATAAAATTACTTGTAACCGTTACAATTTCACGGGACCCCCCCCCCCCCCCCCCCCCCCCCCCCCCCGGGCACACGCCTTTTTTTATGAAATGACAAAAATAAAATTTGCTTTTTTTTTTTCGAACGGAAAAAAAGGAAGATTTTTGCGGAGCTGTAGGAAACGAGGTCAATCTATTTCTATGTACAGTTTCTGTGGAATGTCCGTTTTTTTTTTTTTGTTTTTTTTTTTCGAGCTGGGACTGGGGAGTGGGAAGCCCCAGGGAAGCCACAGTCCGTGACAAAGGCCATTCAGGGCGAAGTTTGAGGAAGCAGAATGTAGCTTTGTGAGACTTTCGTTCAAACTAGCCCCCTCACGCACGCACAAAAAAAAAAAAAATCCTGCTTCGGGTACCTACTCGCAGTCCGTAGGAGAACCAGAACCGAAGAATGCCTAAAGCGGATGCAAAATATAACAAAGGCAGTTTAAATATTTCCCCATGTCCCCTACGTGGTCTTTGTGACAAGCAATGTTTCGAGTTGAGAAGTGGTCGGGGCGATCTCTTCCGCTAATGGATACTACACATGATCTCTTTCAAATCCTGGAGCTGCTGCTCTCTTGTATAACATGCGAGCTCATCCACATGTCAATAATAAAATGAGCGACAACCCTTGCTCAAGCTTAAAAAGATCTAGCACACCCTCCGCTCCCCCCCCCCTCCCACACACACACACACACGCACACACACTGGCGAACGCCCAAATCATTAAACGTCTTCAAACGAATTCTATGCTTGTGTCCGCGTTGTGAAGGTGCAACGACCACGAAGAGGGAGCCAGTTTTTCTTCTTCAATAGTTGTGCAAATGTGAAATATAGGTTGGAAGTAGTTTATTGTTATGAGCGCTAAAGATGTGTCTTCACACAATAAAGTAATCGGAAAAGTAACGATTACTTCTTTAAGTAATGTCCAATTACTTTTGCCGTCGAGTAATCAAGTAATCTAATCGAATACTTTTTAGCCAAGAGTAATAGCAATTGTAATCGATTACTTTTTTTAGTAACGTGTACAAGACTGGTTTTACTCCTCCTCCTCCTCCTCCTCCCCCCCCCCCCCCCCCTGTGTCTCGGAGTTGAAAATATGATGGACATATTTGTTCCCGAACGCATGGGAGGTAGGGAGGGTGTAGTTCGTGGTGAATGCAAATGGTACATAATGTAATGCACGTGTTCCTCTTTTTGTTTCAATTTATGCACCTCGCTTTACTTCAAGTTCTTCATATATTTACAAATATCATACTTAATACCCCCCCCCCCCCAAAAAAAAAAAAAAAAAAAAAAGAAAATGTGAGCGGAGGCCGATGATTACATGACATACTTCGCAAAAGGTGTCCGCCCGAAATCGATTCTGTCCAGACTCCACGGGACCTGTTGCAACATGAGAGGAAGAGAAGCCCCTCCAATAAATTTTGTATTGTCCATTATTAGGTTAACCTCTTTTCCGCTCACCTCCATTACGAGGGAATGGAGACGACTTATAGTTCGGATACGTCTCTTTTTATTATTATTACAGGAAGAACGACTTATGAAGTCTGAGAGAGTAGGTGGTCCTGCACTAAAAAAGATTACGTGGCTAACATGAGAACGGCGGGACAAAGAGGATAATGAAAGAAATTGAAACGAACACCGTTCCTTGACCAAGGCCCCTCTTGTGTTTGCGGCAACAATAGACCCTATTCAAACTTCAAAGCCCCATCAAGCAATATTGGCGGTTGCCACGTCTCGATCATCCTGGTGATATCCCACACTGCCCGGTGAGAGTTACAAAATTCCAGAGGGGAAGCAAGTCGGCATAGAAGGGTGAAGGGAGGAATCATCCTTTTAGTTTTTAATTTCGAGGCTAGGTGGCGCAAGCTACCACCCGTTATAAAGAGTACGTTCGTTAGCATCCTTCGATTCATCCTTGAGCAAAAAGTGTGTGGTTGCATTCGAGCCCACAGCAAACACTGACGCAGCACTCGCTTTCGATGCGAGCCGAGCCCAGTTGGCGCCGAACGCTGCCGAAGTTGTCCAATAGCCGCTCCGATTACGTACCCAACCAATGGCAGACTCTGAAATTGGCGCAGCAGCGACTAGATGGCGCCCACTTTTGAAAAACACTCCCTTCAGGGGCAACAACAAAAAGATACACCGGAGCTATGGTGGGTAATTCGTAGACCACTACCTACATATTTAAATTTACGATGACTTAAATTTTATAAAAAAAAAGAAAAGAAACAGGATTGGAAGCAGACGAAAATCACGGTTAATTTTAAAGTTGTCTGACCAACACACGAGCACAAAAAATGTGGTTTCCGGCATGCATGCTGAAGAAAATCATCGCCGCTTCCACGTTCCGCGTCTAGCGGTAGTTTGTAATGACTATTAGACCGTCTGTAGACAGGAGTGATCGCAGTCATGCTGCGGCCGATCATCACACCTACTTCCGAGGATGCTAACCTAGCGTACTTAACGTGTGGGAAAAATATATTCTCACAATTTTGTTTTGAGTTGAGCGCGTTAGTATGGTGTAAAAACGCAAAGTCTCGTTCACACAGTTCCGTCGACTGCGTTGCGCTGCGTTGCGTCATGAACGCCTCTCCATTGGCTCGCCGTAAGGGTCGCCTAGAGTCACTAGGGTTGCCATAGAAACAGTTAGGCGCAAGCAGTCTTGACAAGATGCAAGTGGTTGCAGCAGCATAGTTCGGGCAGCACGTCTACTTTGAATTATTTTAGTAGCTCGAGTGACCGCAAATAGCCGCCTCTGACAAATGTGTTTTGCCACGAAGACTAGCGGAAGCGCCTACACACGCCATCTAGAACGGTGGTAAGAAGAACGCATGAAAGGAGAAATCTCTCAGCCGCCCTGATATCTCGTCCTCGGCGATAAGAGGGCGGCCCACGCCGCATTGGTGCGAGGCACAGCGAGACTCTCACTTTACGAGACAACGTCAGAGAGATCGCGGCCCTCGAAGACTCCCGTGCCAGTCCCAGCATCTTTCCGCCATGAAGATCGGAGCGGCCCAAGTCATAGTCGCCTTAGCCTTGGCGGTGCTCTGCTGCGAGACGCTAGGTTCGTATGCTTCTATTCACCAATCTTTATTTCTTTTCTTTTTCTTTTTTGAGCCTGTTTGGTTACGAACTGGAACAATTGTAGTAATGGTAGCGGAGGGACTGTTCGGTGAAACGTGCGGGTGTCAACAAGGGTCAAGGATCTGGCATATGCTACTTCATGAAGAATATGAAAAAAGATATAGAGTAGCAAACAGAAAGAGAGAGGCTAGACATTCAGCAATCGACACAACCTAAAATAACACGAGCGAAAAAACATAAAAATGGTGTGTCACATAAACGTGTGCCGGTAGTCTTGTAACCTTCTACAGCTGAGATTCGTGGCCCTGGTAATGTTATGAGTAAGACTCATTTTATTTATTTATTTTTTCGAACAAACAGTGTGCGCAGTGAAATAATAAATGATTCGTGTCACGGAGTATTGAACATGTTGTACTTGTGAATTAATCACAGTGATAAGTTTATATTTTCTTGACTATGCCGCATTGAGGCGCAACCGGCGTGCGATTCAGCTGGCCGTTCCAAGACTCTAGGAATTTCAAGTTCAGATCAGGGATTGCTACGCGTACGTAATTGTAGCGAGAATATCCAGATGAAATTGAGTTTTCTTATTTATTTCCGGATCATGCGGTTTGCACCAGTTCTTCATCCAAAGACTATACGTAGATTTTTGCATTACGAGTTTATGAAAAGTTTGGCGATGATTGCGTGCGGAAGCGATTGAACAACAACGCAACATAAGCCGACATTTCCGAGGACGATCGGAGTTTTGGTGAGGACCTTTATACAGGCAAGAAACACACCTCTGACAGTTTCTCCAGACTGTCCTTTGTTTGATGTATTATCAGCGTGAGCGCGGCTGAAGGGTCCCAAATTGAACCAACCAGCGGATTTGATGCCGAGCCTTCCCATTCATTCTCAGGTCCTTCTTCTCAGGGGCACCAAAGAGTGTATGACTACCGTATCAGCAGTCATGTAGCACACACTGTCGTTGCCCGCGTTTTATTTTGCAAAAATTAAACTCGCTCAATTTTAATTGTTTCTATACTAATTCTAGTTGTTTTTTTTACCTTTATTTCACCCAGCCGAGACAGTGAAAGACGGCAAAAAGTGTCCTGTGCTCGACTGCAAGGGAAAGAACTGCAAGACTAAGTTGGCAGTTTCCGGCTGCCTCGAATGCGACTGCGAGAAAGAGTGTCCCGTTCTGCATTGCCCCCCTCCGTGTCATCCCGAAGAAAATGTGCCGCAGGACCGCTGCCCCGAATGCGTCTGTAATGGTAAGCGCACTACTTCGTATTTGCAGCAAAGATGTTCCTGATGTTGGGAATACAAATATCAGCTATAACAGAGAAGATGGTGACGAGCTGGCGAACTTTGAACACCTCGAATACCCAAGACTAGGAACAAGATGTGGACAACACACACACACGGGTATGTGTGCGACCACATACCACACTTTTTGTTCCTATAGTCTCGGGGGTTCAAAATGTCGACTCATCAGCTTTTTGGTGCGCACTGCTGGTGTGCTACAAACCATATAAGCTGAGAAGTGCGCAGACGCCCAAGCTTTTCGAGGAACAAGTTAAAGGACTAACACATACTATGAGATCGTTTGCATCAGTTAGCACTTTATTCCACACAGTAGATCTGGCCAACACTTCGCCCATGACGTGACATCCGTCCGTGACGTCAAATCTTCCTACAGACCCCCGCTCCCCCGGCCAAATGCCCCCTAAGCGTGACCCATAAATCCTCCCCTGGTACGAGCCCGCTTCTTGTTCTTGCAGTTAGCAATCACTCTAATCAAATGCTATCGTGTTTTTTTCTCATAAGGCGGCGGTGTCCCGCATCCAGCTGACGACGGACAAGACGTCCCCTGCTTCACGCCCATGCTGAGGCGGACGCTGCGCCGACTGGCCGAACTCGAGAACCAGCTGCGTCACGTCCGGCACCTCGTCGACGACAACGAGCTCCGGCTGCTGCGCCTCTTTCCCGCTCTGGAGTCCCGTGGCGGTAAAGTTCCGGCCCCTACCCCCGCATGCCGTTGCTTGAGGATCGTGGCACGCGACGTACCACGGCAGACCAGTCCCGCCCTCCGGCGCGCGGGCGCCCTGTTAGGGACATCTTTGCATGATTCGCGTTTCTCGGGGGCGCAGTGTCCAATAAACATTCGCATGCAAATGAACCCCCGAGGTCCGTCTGTGTTTCTTTTTGTGAGCATGATGTAAATGTCAGCCTGACCCGCTTCGCGCATGATACGTGGTCACAGTGTGAGTGACTGCGGTATACTAACAAACTTGGAGAGCATGGCGACACGTGTCTTGGTAGCTCACTGCATGATCTATCCCTTCCCTGCTCGAGATATCGCAGCTAAAGGGTACTACTCACCACTAACTCTTTCTGAAGTTGCTAGCCTTTTTTTCCTCGTCTCCTTGCATGTGATTTTATTACCGACGCACAAGTCTTGATACACAAACGTAAGTGACCAGTATAAAGACATGTATACGCTCGTTAAAACCTTCCGCCTTTCACTTTAATTATAATAGCCGCCCTCAAATAACATACTGGACTGTTTACGTGTGTGTATACGTAGTTACGGGACCTGCGGACACCCATCCATTGCAATTCGGGTGTGTGGGCAATAAAACAAAATATCTTTGATATTTACCCTCGCTAAACAGACGTAAAATATTTTGGATGCCTCAGCAAAGAACTTCAGATGAATTTAAATAAGCTGGTAATGTCCAACTTGCAATCTGAATATTAGTATCACGCAGAAACTTTTAAAGCTCTAAAATCTTACAAGGAACACGCAAGAGACTGTGTACCGTACACAGAAAGAAAGTCTTTTCCTACTTTCCATCACATCATGCTTATATCTAATCACGATGAACAAATAATGTCTCGCTAAAAGGTGTAGCCTGCGATGCTATAGAGCTCTAGCATACTTGACTGTGGGCCCTACAGCAGCTAAAATCCTGCGGAGAGAGTACAGGGTCAGTGAGTAAAACTAAGAAAACCTTGCAAAACCAAAATTTTGTATCAATAATTTGTGTTCCATTCTATGATAGCTTGCCTGCTGAGGGCGTTTTGCTGTCTGGAACCAGAATAACGGAGAACCTTATAGTAGCCTCATCGGCGGGCTTCAGAGATAAATGTAGATATACATACAATTGAGGAAAGTAGTCACTTAACCAATTACTGAAGGCTTTAAATGCATTAAATTGTCCGCCCCCACCCCCTTTTACGGTCCGGGCTTGATAGTCATTTTCCAAACGTTGAGCTGTAGATGATTGCCCAAAGAAAAATCTGCCACTGGACCTGCTGGAATGCCTTCCCCGAGTATGGTAGTGATCGGAGAGTCGAGATGCCACCAGGTAATTCGACCAACATCCGCATAAATGGCACCAAAAGTGCCAAAAACAGGCCACCTTGTGGTGGTGTTAAATTTGAAAATAACTGCACATGGTGCTTTTTTATGGCGTAGCTTTTTTTTCTCGCATGAGGTCTGCAGCTTCACTTATTGCTTACAAACATTCATTGGGCCGTTTACCATTGTGCGAGCGGGCTTGGGTCAAAGACGAAACCAAAAACAATGCAATTTTCGTGAAATAAAAATGTAATGCGCACCATTTCTACGTGGAGAGCAAGTCGCCTGCTTCTTGCGCAGAAGTTGCGGTGCCTTTAGAACGACAGAGAGCTCTGGTTGGCTTTGATTGAAACGATAGTGGGTAGACTTTAATGCTAGATGCCTTGAGGCCTACCCACTATTTGTTTTCAACCAGCCAATAAGAGCTCGTCGTTCTGACGTCATCGCAACCACTGTGCAAGATGCAGACGAATTGGCGCTCCGCATTATTATCTCCAGAAAAACGAGAAAGAACTCACATCTGCTGAGTATATGAGGCCTGAAAGTTCGTCTGCTCTTGGCGCACCTCGTGCGTTTGTTTACCCCTAAATAAGCCCACGTGCTCTTGTTCACCTCGACCTTAACCAATGGCGGCGCGCGCTTAGTTACCTCGTCATCTCGCGTTCCCTGTGCGTTCTCTATGGTGGCCTTTGATTGACAGTCCTTGCGTTCGGATGCGCGAAAGACACATCTTGGATTGCCTGCTTGCCGCATAGCTTTAAATGATGGAGTCCTAGGGTACGGCAGTCCAGACAGTTTCTACTATGAGCGCCTCATCCCAAGCAACGTGTGCAGTAACAGTCAACATGTTCTTGATATAAAATATGTGGAATAAAGCGTGCTTGTCAGACGCAGCTCGAGGCGAACGGACTCGTCAGAGAAACTTTGCAGATTACGATGCTGCCAAGTGAGAAAGCGACATCGAGGGAGCGTTTCTTGGTATGGTTTTAGGCTGGCTCCCTCTCTTGAGCTGCCGTAAACGGTTTCCAAAGGCTGGAAGTTTCTCGATGTTTTCTTTTTGTGCGTAGGGTTGATTTCTCGTTGTCCCGCACCAACAATGTTAGGGAACGGTCTCGTCAGACGTTGGGACCTTATGCCTATGCCCTACTTTATTCCCATTTTTCTCATCAATTATTACTTACCATTTAAAATATTGCTACGACACCAACAACAAAATTGTCATTAAATTGTTTCTTCATCAAAAAAAAAAAAAAAAAGAAGTGAAAGGAAGTGAAAAACAGCACCGGTATTTAAATTTAGCTACAGTGCTCCTCAAATTAATACAGCCACTTGTTTTTGTTTTCTTTTTTTTATTGAGCTATTGCTGGTTGCTCAAAAATACACACGGGACAAGTTCTGATGCTTCCTCGAGGCTGGACGGGCGTTAAAGGTGCCCTGAGGAGGTTTCTGAGATCGCCTAAATATGGTGATAACTCACTCTGGGGAATCTAAGCATCCTAGAAATCCATAAATCATAACGATGCGCTGCCGATTTTCCTATTAAAGAAGAAATCAAAGATCGATCACACTGAGGTAATCTCCGGCGACGGGAGGAGGACCAGAACATGTGGCCAATGAAAATGCCACATCTCGTTGAGATTGCAAACGCTGTTATTACAAAATGTGCATGTGTTTGTGGACGATGGTCGCCAATAAAAGTACCTAGTCCAAAAATGTTAATTTTTCGCGGAGCGGGAATATATATACTGCAGTAATCGTCTCAAAAACAACGCACAATGTTGTTTCTTTTTTTTTTTTTTCCGTGGGAGTGGTGTGTCTGGTCGTCAGGGCTCAAGCGCGGGCTCACTGGATTGAATCGTAGTGCGGGCGGTATGGGCAACGAGCTGCGCGCATTTGAGATATTTCGTGGTTCCAGCGGTCGGGGGCGCGAGGATCGTTCGCTCGCTATTGGTTTTGGAACATGCTCCCCGCATCACCGCAGATAACCTCGGTGTGTTGCGATATTTGATTGCTTTTTAATAGAGAAATCGACCGCGTATCGGTCATGATTTAGTAATCTCTAAGATGTTTAGAGGCCACAGATTGAGTTATCGCCCCATTTAGGTGATCTCAGAATCCTCCTCAGGGCACCTTTAAGGATTCAAGGTGTCACCACATAGTTCAATCAGTGGCCAGAGGAATGGCCCTACAAGTGCTTCAAACAAGCCATCTTGTGGCGTCGTAAGTTTGGGGTGAAAACATACGTATATGAATAAAAACTTGGGTCAATTTGATAGATATATTTTTAGAAACTTTAATAATCTTATTTATAACCGTTACCTAATGTGCAACAATACGCTGAACAAAACACACACAAGCACACACAAATATTTCAACCAGTGACGTTCACTGAGTAGTTTATGCAGTCTACGTATACTCCACCATTTGGAGACCGCAGTTTGTGTCAGGACACTGGACTACCTCTTTTTTGGTCGTGTCGTTCTCGTTTTGTTTTAGCAAAAGGTTTGATAACGAATGAATTGCAAAATTGAAGGCAACCTGACATCATTATTGTGTAAGGGTACCAGGCCTTTATATTCTGGTTCGCTTCTATTTCTAATGCATAAATATTTAAATTCATATTAATTTATAAAACAACAACACCGCATCTGCGCCATCTGTGCGTGCATTCGCATTAAACGTACACTCACTTTCTGAATCGGTACTGCGTTAAAGTTAATTATCGCACACGATGCATAACACTTGCGTTTCGGTGAATGTTTGTTATACGTTATATATTTATCTCCTTTCTTCGCGAGTGTTTAAGCGCCAAATAGAGTGGTGATAATCTCAAAGGGGATATTTCATTGGCTGAGAAAGCGCGTATTGTCAGCAACACCTCGCAGAATTACGCAGACCAATTACAACCAAAACAAACATAAAACCCTGGCACTGCCATTATTTCAATATTCGGGCGTCAATGACTACTTTATATAAATTGTGCATGAAGCGTTCGATGCATACCGGCGTAAGTAGCCCACAAGGTTATATAATCATTAAAAAAAGAGATCCCAAGAAATAAAGGACGAAGTCATCCCCGGTTGCCCCGATTCGATTTGGTACTACTTGCTATTTAATAATTACGCAAAAAAAGAAGAAAGAAAACATAGAATGGTTTTTTTACAACATATCACATGTATCTGTTACATAGTAGAAATAAATAATTGAAGACAGGATATTAAGGATATGGCATCGTTACATCAGAATAGTACACTAGAACCCGGAGACATAATGTCCCCGCCCTGGGCCGCATTGGCTACAAGTACATGTCTAAAAATATCCACCAGTACACTTTTCTGCAGGGCACGCTGAAGGCAAGTATCTGAAATATAAGGAACGAGTCTAGCGATTGACAAAGCTTACACAGAGTTTTGAATAAAAACGCAATTTGCGCTTGGACATCGACATGAGAAACGTCCCACGTCTTTTGCGTGCCGTGCGTTTCTCCCGTAGAATCGTTTTTCTGGCAGTAGTGGCAGTGTCTACCCGTGCGATGCAAGATCATGGGTGGGTTGACATTTTCAACAGATATTTACGCCTCGTTCTATATTCGGATGGACAGAAGCTTTTATGCAAACTGAATCAATCGTATCTCGCCGACGCGCATTACGTCACAGTGACTCTTAGGTTAGGCTTGCCAATCAACCAATGAACTTTACTTTCGCGTATCTTATTTGCTGAAGAGCATGTGGAGACCCAGAGATATACGATGGCACACCGTGTTTGCGGCTAATGTGCCAGAACTACTCGCAAAGTGAGAGAGTTAACTTTTTCATAAACTCCCTTTGCGGACTGCGGTGTGTGGCTATATACGCAAGCGTCACAAGAAAGTAAACGTACTTGCATCTTTAGAGCGTGAAGCGGAACGAAGTAATATTTATTATTGCATTTTTTGGCTAAGTACATTTAGTATAGAAGTCTCAGTACGGATCCTACATTATATATAAGGGTTTGCCGCATTTGCAGCACTGTCTCGCAGCGAAATTGACGGCATCAGTGAAAACTAACGTAAGAGAGGCGTGGAAGAACCAGTGTTTTATATCTGTCAATACGTTTTTATTGATTTTGAATAGTCAAACGACAATAAAGATGTCTTACAAGGCACTCCCTCCCCTCGCCCCCAATGCCATACTAATTGTTCTATCAGTCATAAGTAGTCAACCAATTTCAATAGCCGACAGGGAAAGAGAACGATAAGCAAAAGGTTGCCTTGCATGGGAAGCTTGTGATTGAATGAGATATTTGACTCTTCAATTTTGATTTATAATTATTTTGCTTGATATCAGAAATGGCGCACTCCAGTAGGAAGAATGCTGTTTTCTTCGCGTCTATTTGGAATTTTTCAATGTGAGCGAGCTGAGTGGCCATTTTTAAGCCAACACCCTGTCGCTTGGGAGAGACATCGTAGGCGGAAGATGATTTGTGATTTCCACGAACGTGCCGCAGTCTATATTTCATTAAGAGAAGCAAAACTTATGCTAATCACAAAATAATCATTGTAGGACATTTTTAAGAAAAATATAGTTTTAAAAAATAATAACTGTGTGCATGGCTGGTACTGACGAATGTAACACTCAATTAAGTTTCTGACAGTTGCCCTTCTATATGATGGGGTGATGTTGACAATGACGATGATTATATATGATAATAAGGATTACGGCAATGAAAATGTTGGTGCGGGTTTCCCTTGGATGCACAAATGGCAAACTCGAGTAAATGGTCTGCTTTCCAACCATGTACGGCTCGTCTTTTTTTAGAGCGCAGCTCTTAGGCGCCCGTTTCCGGCTTGAGCGGCGTCGCCGTCGCTGTCGCCGTCGGCGCCGGCGTCGGCGTAACCGCGACCCTCCCCCCCCCCCCCCCCCCCCCCCCCCCCCCGAGGAGCTCGGGAGGACCTCGGAGGTTCCTTCAAGAGGACCTCGGGAGGACTTCGGGTTCCTTCGGGAGGACCTCGGGTACCCTCGGCGACCTCGGGGGGGGGGGGGTCACCTCACTCCCTTCCAGGTCACGTGACCCCCCCCCCCCCCCCCCGAGGAGCTCGGGAGGACCTCGGGTTTCTTCGGGAGGACCTCGGGTTCCTTCGGGAGGACCTCGGGAGGACTTCGGGTTCCTTCGGGAGAACCTCGGGTACTTTCGGTGACCTCGGGAAGGGGGGGGGGGTCACGTGACCCCCCCCCCCGAGGTCACGTGACCGCCCAGGTCACTTGACTCCCCTAAGGTCACGTGACCCCCGCCCCCCCCTCAGTGCCCTCCCCTACTCCTCCTCAAGAGCTGCGCTCCAATTCGGCGTTACAGTGACTTGTAAACGGCTTTCCTTTTTTTTCTGTTTTAAGCGTTATATATTGTTACGAATTATTTTTCAATGATTCGGAAAAGCAAGAGATCGTCGAGGCATTAATACACTGATTTGACGATTTTAAACAACTACTCACGCGCCTCAAGGGTTCCTGATCCGCGGGAGCGACGGTATGCACGGCGCCTCCAGCCGCCCGGGCCACCACCACCATGGGTCCAGAGGAGGCCAGGACGACGAGAACCCCAACTTGTTGCATGTGCCTCACCAACACGGGCACAAACACAGCGGTGAAGGCGGCCTTCGGTTCCCGCTGAACCGACCAGAAAACAACCTCATTCATCGGGATGATGCCCTTGTTCAAGGGGAACCAAGGCGTAAGTAATTCTCTTTTTTTTTCATACCGTTTATGTCAGCGCGAAAATATTACTACTGAGTTGAGCTCGTTAAAAAATAAATAGGGAGTTTATTGTCCAATCATAAATCCACAGCGGTTTAATTATCCAAGACTCAAAATAAACAAAAATCGGTTCGAAATATTTTACTAACTGTACCATTGCTTAAAATGAGCATGAGCTCGGAAACATCGAAACTGAACAAGAAAATTGGGTAACGTGGTACAGCATTGCTTCCTGCCGGTCTTCTTCACATGCACCTGATAAGCATGTAAGATAGACAAGAATGGTGGACTGAAAAATGGTGAAGTGCCCTTGAGTGCCATACGGAGCTTGGTTTTTAATACCGTTTTTTTTTCTTGCCGAAAAACTAAAAAGAAAAAAATTCTACCCCCCCCCCCCCCCCCCTTCGTCCCTTTTTTTCCTGATGGTCCATTGGCGCTTTTGCCTCTTGTTTGCACTCAGAACAAACAGCTTTTCAATTCGATAATTTTTTTTCTCGGAAAAACGAAGATATTTTAATTCGGTTTTAATGCTTTCAAAAGTGTAACCACGTATTTCATGTACATGTATGTCGATCCAAATTCCTTTCTCAGTGCGCGATCTTCACAGCCCACAGGGTGCAAGTGCCCTCCACTTTAGCAGGCAAAGATAGCAAGCCTCAAACGCACCAACATGCGCAATAATATCCGTCAGATGTCCTCGTTTATATTAAGGGTTTACTTAGTTGACGCACATATTAACTCAATCATTATTTCGGTTTCAACGTGGTAAAATATATTCTAGAAAAAAAAAATTGTTTTGAAACAGCATTTTATTTTCTACAAGTATCCGAAACAGAGTACGACTTCGCAATCTGCCGGGTGCGACCCAACACTGCCCTTCCTGTCGATCAGCAACAGCCAGTGAACGGACTTATCAGCCTCTGGCAGCAGGTACGTCACAACTACAAACTATATGTATTATGTCCCGAAAAAAAAAAAGTAAGAAAAAAGTCAATCATATAAAGCGGTATTCGAGATACCTATGACGAAGTTAACAAGAGTTACCCAGCAAGAAAAAAACATTAAGGTAAAAAACAATCTTTGAAGCGGATATGGGCTACTTTAGCGGTGGATTATGTTTGTTTTAGTTTTAGAGCGAAGCTCTTAGGGGCCCGTTTCCAGCCTGAGCGGCGTCGGCGTCGGCGTCGGCGTCGGCGTAACCGGGGGAGGGTCACGTGACCCCCCCCCCCCCCCCGAGGTCACGTGAACCCCCCCCCCCTGAGGTTACGTGACCCCCCCCCCCCGAGGTCAGGTGACCCCCCCCCCCCCGAGATCACGTGACCCCCCCCCCCCCCCGAGGTCACGTGACTACCCGCAGGTGACAATTCCCTACTCCTCCTCAAGAGCTGCGCTCCAATTCGGCGTTACAGGGAGTTGTAAACGGCTTTCATTTTAGAGCGCAGCTCTTAGGGGCCCGTTCCCGGCTTGAGCGGCGTCGCCGTCGCCGTCGCCGTCGCCGTCGCCGTCGCCGTCGGCGTAACCAAGGTCATCCCAAGGTCACGTGACCCCCAAGGTCACGTGACCCCCAGGTCACGTGACCCCCAAGGTCACGTGACCCCTCCAGGTCACGTGACCCCTCCCAAGGTCATCTCAAGGTCACGTGACCCCACGTGACTCCCAAGGTCACGTGACCCCTCCCAAGGTCATCTCAAGGTCACGTGACCTTAAGACCCCACGTGACCCTTTGAAGGTCACGTGACCCCTCTGAGGTCACGTGACCCCCGAGGTCACGTGGTCTCCTCCCCAAGGTCACGTGACCCCCAAGGTCACGTGACCCCTCCCAAGGTCATCTCAAGGTCACGTGACCTCAAGGTGACCCCCACGTGACCCCCAGGTCACGTGACCCCTCTGAGGTCACGTGACCCCCCTCCCCGAAGTCACGTGACACCCCCCCCCCCCCCCGAGGTCACGTGACCGCCCCCCCCGGAGCATATTAAAGAATGAGGGGAGGAGGAGGGGTCTACCCTCCCCTCAGTACCCTTCACTCCTCCTCCTCAAGAGCTGCGCTCCAATTCGGCGTTACAGGGATTTGTAAACGGCTTTCACTTTTTTTGCTACACAAAATGAGAATGGCATGTCAAACCGGCGCATCGCTAGTTGTGCCGCGTTATAGGTACAAGTCTAGCCGGAGGAAGCGACGTGTACTGGGTGACAGTGTTAGTGCGAGCACGGCACTGGCGCTTATTAGCATTTTACTGAGACAGTATATCAACGGACAGACGATCTTGTAGCGCCTGTGTCTTTGTCGAAGGGCGAGCCCATTTCACTCCTCTCAGGCCGAGGTAACATCGCTAATACATCATACAAAGGACAGTCCGCAGACGCTGTCTAAGGCCGGTTTCTTCTTCTTGCGACAGAAAACCAGCGAAAACCGCCGATCGCATTTTTTGTGCTAACCGTGTGTCACGGTGTGTGTACCTGCATGAACCTCAATTTGACGTGATTGCAGAAAGAGAGCAAGGATCTGAACGTGCACGTGCACGTCACTGGGTTCAAGGTGAACGCGAGCGCACGTGACCATCGCGCCTACATGCACGGCATGCACGTGCACGTCGAGGGAAACCTGACCGATAGCTGCCAGTCGACCGGGGCCCATTTCAACCCCACCGCCACTGTGCACGGAGATCGCCGAGCGTCTATCAGGTGACCGAAACATTGCGCACGTTGCCCTACGTACAAACACTGCAAACACGCCCGAGTCAATTACATTTCTGTAAAGGAGAAAAGAAGGCGGTCATATAGGGGCTAGTCAATGGCAGCCATAGCTTTGTTCACTACTGCTGAGCTCGCGCTGACGGTGAGCTCCCACAATTCTTTTGCAACGCGTGCATTCCGCACCGTCAAGATTGCCGGATTTAGCAGTCTATTAATCTAAGCTCCTTCTGAGCATGTGCTTTACAACATGGCCCTCAAATATGGCGTCCAGTGAATACCTCCATTGGATCGGGAAGAGCTATAAGAAACGAGGTATTTTTATTCGATCGAAGCGTCGTTTACGAACAAACGTAGAAGTATTCTCTCACGCACGGGAATAAATTGCTTCCGCACCATTCACGAGATCAACACCTGACGTCACGCCGATGCTGTGGAGCAGTTGTAGGAACTGCGCATGCGCAGGCACACCTCTTCGCGCGAATTTGATTTTTACTCACGCGCAGTGCCCATACGTGGCGTTCGGGAACGCTGACTCGTTTGTAAGCACCGTGTGGAACGGCCCGCAATACCCACCTTTTCGAGTAGATCACCCGCGTACAAGATTAGCGTTGTCGCGCAATACAAGGTCGGATATGTTCATTCATTCACTCATAAAAGAGCTGGGCTCGAAAATGTCTTTAGTAATATACTATACTATAATTATGTGGTTAAAGAAATCTTAGTGAGTCTTTTTTTATGCACTATTTTGAAAAAGTTGCATGAGCACCTGCGAGAGTTTTGCGTTAAGAACACCAATTTGCGTAATATTTATGCTTCTAGGCATGTCGGTGACTTTGGGAACATAGCGTGCGACAAGCACGGAATAACGAACGTGGTCTTCACGGACACCGTGGCGTCGCTCACTGGGCCTTCCAGCATCGTGGGACGCTCTATCAATGTGCGTGTGTACACCAGCACATCTTATGTTCCTCACGTTTGTCGTGACAAGAAGTTTTTTTTTTTTGTCTTAATGATGTGCCTTTACTCTCGAGATTTTATTTAATTTTGACTCATTGTCTATCAATGACTTCGTTACTTTGTTTACTACCCCTATTCATAACAGGTGTCGCGCCTTAACTATTTTCTGAATTTGAGAGTAAGTTGCACATAAATTTGGTATCCTTCTCCGTTTTCACGTTGCCATCGCTAATTTTAATTTCAATGAGATTCTTAAAACAAACTACGAATCACTTCTGAGCAGCTTCCGACATTAAAGCGTACAAAGTTGTCAGTTATTCTGTAACGCACAATCCGAAGAGGTTTAATGTGCATTTGAATTATTTATTTCTCAAGCTGCGAATGCAATGTGGAAATGCAGGGTATTCCCGAGAAAAGAAAACCCTGTTTTCCGGAATGAATAAATAAACTAAGCATCGAGGACAGCTCAAACTCCGTGAAAACGTGGTAGTAGTGGTTGGATTATAGAACACTAAAGTTTGAAAACATGGCCTCGCCTGGAATCAAAACATAATTGAGAAGAAAAAAAAAACGACATTTATCTATCAATAAAATTGTGCGCACCAAGCTTTTATTTCAGTAAAGAAGAAGAAGAAAAAAAAAACTTTTCAGCAAGAAAGCATGCTGACAAGTATTTTTACTTACATAAATTCCTAAATTGTTTTTTTTATTTGGGTAACGACATCTTAAACTTTCGCGTTCTATCCCAACCGCTAGCGTTAGCTAGCGGAATTTGAGCTCTCTCTAATGCCTAGCTTATTTTCCCGGGTCAAAAAACACGTTTTTTTTTTTCTTTTTTTTACGGGGACGTTTTGTTCACTAGAACGTTCATGCACTCGTTCAACCAAATCGCTTTCAAAAGGCACCCGTCCACGTCCGTGCCTCTACTAGAAAAAACATGGCACAAACTGTCCGATAGAGTATGCGATGAAACGCCTTTGTGCCGCACCAGATCCACGCGCATATGGACGACCTGGGCAAGAACCCCCACATCCCTGCCAGCGTGTCCTCCGGCAACGCGGGTCCACGCATCGCGTGCTGCATCATCGAGAAGGTGGACAAGCTGCCTCAGCTGAGTACCAAGACAGCGCGTCGCATCCTCAGGGACATCATGCAGCCGTTCAGCGACATTGAAAACGAATGAAAAATAAGAACCTGTTTGCGGGACGTTCACGTACATATAGCGCTGGGCCAAATCGCTTGATTGCACCCGACCCAACATTGCAAGCATGCACGGATTGTTGAGCTTGGTTTGTTCGCTTTGTTTGTTTGTTTAGACACAAACTTTAGGGTAACAAGGCAAAAGGTTGACTTTTTTTTATGCCTGGCGAGGCCCTGTTCTTTGTTTACACTAGGGTAACAGCAACGAAACAACAACAAAGGACTGATAGAGTACGCAAGAACACGCAGCCTACCTTCCTAATGATATCGTAATCAAGTTTTTTTTATACATGTTCATACTCACTCCATATCAGTAGGTTAGCATAGTTGTAAGTAAACCACTATTGTGCTCGTATTTTCTTGATTGTAATGCGAAATAAAATCCGCCATTTTCATTCGAAGTTTTGTCCTTGATATGTCGGTCACCCAAAAACTCTCCCGACTGTTAAGAATATAGTCCCGAGACACACACACACAAAAAAAAAAAAAAACACGCCAAAAAACTAGTAAGAAAAACAAGGTATCGAACTGAAGAGGAAGCCAATCACCGACATTTATTATCAGCACTCGAATACTTCGGAGAGACCGCCGCGAAAAGGAGCAAGGTTGCGGCAGCGCCAGATCTGAAGTCAGGTCTGGGCCGATAACGCGCTCGCGCTTCTCCGTCTGCATTTCTTGCACTGACAGCTTTCCAGAAGGCGGGAATTCAGCGAAAACTACTTGAAGGAGCGCCCTAGAACTTCCGAATTGTTTTCTCCCCACGAGAAGAGATATACGCACAAAACACTTAAAAATAAGCTACGGCTACAAATCTCGAAATCTCGATGCGTAGTTTACGTTATAGTAAAACTGATTAGCCATAAAACCCACGAGAAGAGATATATGCACAAAACGCTTTGAAAGACGGGCTGCGGTTACACATCTCGAAATATCGATGCGTAGTTTAAGCTACAGTAAAAATGGTTAGCCATAAAAAATAGAGTAAGATTGCCATTTTCCAGCATCCTGCGAATATTCTGAGCCCCGCGAAAATCGAATATTCCAAGCTTCGTATGTAATCAAAGCAAAATATATTGAGGGATAAAAATTCAAACAAAAACACACGCTATATTTGCACTGAAATGAGAAGAAACAAAACTGCTAACAGGAGCCAAAAGGCCAAGACTCTCTACGAACTTACGGCATAGCATCGTGTGCAAAGCCGGCACAAGACTGTGCTGACTGTGACTGGGCGCCTCCGTCTTATCGCATGTCCACATTGCCCTGAAATTCTAGTCGTCTTACAAAAGATCCGCCGTATCTGGTTCTTTTACTTTTGTACACTCCGCTACGTTGGAAACCTAACCTTGCTCATCATGTCTACCGAGTGCTTCCGTCAAAACAAGCACGTGTTTGAGTGTGCGAAATGCAGAAAAAGAAAAATGATGTCGCACTGATAATTACTTAGCTTGCGTTTGCGTCTACGGTATTCAAGTGCGAACAAACACGTATACGGCTTGGAGCAATACCAGCTAAAAGACAAGGCCTGCGCATGACGCCATCGTAGGTGGACCCCCGAAGCGCCCCAAGCGGCAAACACGCCAAAACTCGTCGCCACATAGCGCTGGCGTCGCTGTCGTTGTTAGATGCTGCGAGACGCGCTGGCAGCGATATTAAGAACTTTTAGAAAACCGTTACCGTATTCCGCGCACTTCAAAGGCTCCGGTAGTGCGGTATAGACACGCAGCTCTTAAGTTTTGAACAGCGCCCCTGGCGAGAAACATCGGATATTTTTAGGTCGCGTTTCCACTAGGCGTAGCGTTGCACCCTTTCAAACGCACTGTCAGGGCGCGCGAACCATGAGCAGACGCCGAGGGAAGCTGACAGACGCTGATTTACGCCCTTGGAAGGTACATGAGGGGATGCTTGGGCGCCTCTTCACGTCAGCATTGAATGGTCGCGTCTCGCGGACGCCAGCGGAGTCGCCTCTTTTGTGGTCGCGTCTCGTGAACACGACAGCGCCCCCTGGCCGAGAGAAACAGGCCTATACGCTGAACGCGGTAACGGTTTGCTAAAAGTCCCTACTGACGCCAGGTGGGTGGCTCTGCGTGGATCCATGCTAGGGATGACATCTGGCGGTGAAAGGCGCCGGCCTTGTCCTCTAAATGTTCTCTAGGTGTTCGGCGGTCGGCGTCTGCATTCAAACAGTGAGTAGAGACAATTGCAGCTAGCTTCGCGTCTACCCACTAATCATTACAACCAGAGCACGGTGTTTTTGACGTCCCCGCGTGCTCTCACTTTCTCCTCTCCCTCAGCTTTTACCCGCATAGAAGTCTAAGCCTAACCGATGGCCGCCGCCTCTGGAGCAACGTTCATGTCTGTGAAGCCTGGTTCAGACGGCAAAGTCACCACGGAAAAGTGTTCGACGCACAGAAACATACGAGCAACGCAAAATGTAGCTTCGTGAAGCAAGCATGAGTCGCTGTTGTCCCGGTGTTCCGGTCGTTGCAGTCGTTTTGGATGCTCTCGACGACACCGACAAAAATGTGTGAACCAGTCTTAAGTACCAAAAACAAGAACTGATCCCTGACGCGGTTATGGTGAGCTCTCCACAGGAAAAGTGCCCTTGGCAATGAAAAATTGGCAATGTCCAATTTCAGCTCTTGAGACGAGGTATCGAGGTCCATAGGTGCATAGGTCCTGCAACGAAGACACCTTTAGAGAAAAGGATATTGACAGGGTTTACAAGTATACTGATGCACCAAAAAAAAACAAATTAACGTTTTTTTGTTTCCATGGAAGGCGGCAAAACAGAGTGATTTCTACCGCGCATCCCCAACTACCTTGGACATCAACGCCTCGGCGCAAGCACTAAAATGACGACTTCAACTGAACAACAAACATTGCAATGTGTCCCGAGAATATTTTAGATGACAGCCATAATATCTTAATAAGCAGCAAATAAAGTTTCGGACGCGTAATGTTTTTATTCCACGGATCTACAATTTTTTTTTTTTCATTGAATCCTATAGACCGACGCGCTGTTTACAAACAAGCCCGCGTTTGCCCACCCCGGGTGTGGGCACTGCGCGTGCGCAGAAACGGAATTCGCGAAATGTGAAGCGTCTGCGCATGCGCAGTGCCGTCGACAGCGCCACCGCAGCTGCGTGACGTCAGGGCCGCGCGTTGGTCTATAGGCTACGTTTACATAATTATGAATTTCTAATTTTCTTGACAAAAACTCCTAATGTTCCCGAGGACTGCAATTGCCTGGGTATCGCAGAACGCAAATCAATTAGAATTTTGACATTCCCACAACTTTTTTAACCACGGAATGTCCGAGAAAGTTGGCCATGGAGAAGTACGCATTCATGCACAAGTAAACTTAGTGCTTAAATAAATGTTGGCACAGAAAAATAAAGGACAGAAATATATGAGAGTGTCCAGATAATTCAGGAGCGGTAATTACTTTTCGGAATGCCATGTGGTCCATTCTGTTTTGCCTGACTGGCAGACGACAGAGCCGCTTTACGATTACGATCATTGTTCAAAACCTGTTACCTATTCCTTATTTTTAAAATTGAAGATCCTTAAAATTTTTATAAAGAGGACAAGATTTTTTGTTTGGCATTACCTTATCTGGGTTCATTTTGTTACATCGCTTTGTTCTGACAATACAAAACCTAAAGAGCTCTGCTTTTCCGAAGCTACCTCCGAAGAGCGAGCGAATCGGCTCATTGACATACTAATATGTTTTCGTTTCTATGCTACAATTGAGATTAATTATCAGATAGATATTAGTTTTCTTCTTATTAAACAAGTGTTCAGGATGATGCCAGCTAAAAGACTCAACAGAGGCCAGTCAAAAATCTCCGTGACACAACAGGAATCAGACAAAAATAATGTAGAAAGGCACACTAACTTTATTTTACAGAGTTGTCATAAAGTCGCAAACAGGCTTATTAGTTTCCGACACGCGTGTAGAAAGTTCGTACACCAGGCTGGGATATCACAGGGCAAAAGAGAAAGCAGCTTTCAATAAAAACGCGAGCTGTACCGCAGTTCTTTTGTGTCATCTCCTCTGAAATGTCCTGTTGTATGATACCAGTACACACTCTAAAAAAAGCCCGTGCGTCTACTTTCCCGCAAAACACTCGGAGAGCCAATCACCGCAACTTACGGAGGCAGCTCAGCGAATGATGGTGCCGAAACATATGTTTAGACCAAAAAACACACTCTCAGTTGTGACAGCAAGCGTGACGTTTTGCATTACTTAATATTACAACTCAGACTGCGTTTTTGGTCTAAACATATGTTTCGGCATTGTAATTCGCTGAGCTGCCTCCATAAGTTGCGGTGATTGGATCTCCGAGTGTTGTGCGGGAAAGTAGATGCACTGGCCTTTTTTTTTTTTAGAGTGCAGTACGCACCTTGAGGTTAGTATATGCCTTGCGTTGACCAAACCACTCAAAAGCGAACATAAACAAAATTGAACAAAACATATTGTTATTTTTTATTTCTTTTTCCCCCATACCGGATATATGATCTACGTGGCAGAAGGCGCGGGTAAACGAAGAAGTTCCATACATGGCTTCCACTGACGTTACATCAAAGGCTATTGCGATGGCCTTGCAACTGTGCGCGTACTTTCTGCAACATATGTTTTGTGCAATCGAATTTTTTTTTTTTCGGCAAGAACAAGTCGGAATGACCACCGGCATGGTGCGATGACGACATGTGCAAGCTGTGTATGCGTCCGAGTCAGTTTCGTGGTGTATAAACTCGAACACCACGTTAGCACAACCGCGACATCGGCGCCTTTTCGCAATATCTCGCCACGAATGAGTGTTTATGACGAACGTTTCCCACCTAAGTTAGGGTTCGGTTCTACTCCGACGTGGAGCGTAACAAACGCGGCGTAGCGCAGCGCACGCTGATACTGGTTGGTCGCAGATATCGAGTTCCCGCTGGCCGGCCGCTGAAACGCGCGCGTTCTGCGCTACGCTGCGATCGCGGTGCTCAACATCGGAGAGAGGCTTTAGTACCGCATGTAGGCACGTTCAATTACACTATAAGCGACAGACAACTTAAGAAACGCAGGGCGTGGCGAGCCCTGCGCATCTCAATATAGCTCCGTAGCCAATGACAATGCGGCATTGGCCAGTAAGAACGCCGAGGAACGAATCACGAAGCAAGAAGCGTTAACAACTACGGAGCGATAATGAGATGCACGGGGCTCGCCACGCCCTGCGTTTCTTAATTCTCAGTGACTATATACACACTAAAAAAATTGTCGTTGAGTTCACTTTCTTGTAGAACACGAAGCGAGCCTATCATGGCGAACAATACCACGATCTATAGCGAATTATAAAGCCCAGAATACGACAAGAAGCAAAAAAATGAGATGTGCACCGAGATGATGAGCGTCCCGTTTGACTTGCCCCCGCCCTCCCTTGACTTGCCCCTGCCCTCACGATCTAATTGCATTCTCAGCTTCGTCGTTCGCTGAAAGTAATATCTGCCGTGATAGGCTGTCTCCGTGTTCTACAGGAAAGTTAACTCACAAACACTTTTGTTAACCTTTGTTTCAGTCAAGACGTAGCCGACGCTACGAGGTAATGGAACTAATCAAGCAGCGTCAAAGGCGCATGTAACTACAGTCCGTTGCAACTTAAGAAGGTAGGGCGAGGGGAAGGAAAGAGGGGAAGAGGAAGCAGGCGGAACGCTGGACAGGAGAGGGGTTTCCCCCTCTTCTCTCCCGCGTTCCGTCTGCTTCCTCCTCCCCAGTCTTTCTTACCCTTGCCCTACCTTCTTGAGTTGCAACGGACTATAGGCCTGTTATGTTTGTGATTAATAAAGCAATAATAGAACCCGTACAAAAACGTGGCGAACACCATAATGGTGCATTTTTGACACCGCCTGGTTGGTTCCATCACCTTGTACACTCTAAAAAAAAAAGTCGGTGCTTCTATTTTACCGCACCACACTCGGAAAGCCAATCACTGACACTTAAGGAGGCAGCTCAGCGCATGACGATGCCGAAACACATGTCTAGACCAAAAAACGCCGTCTGAGTTGCGACATTAAGCAATGCAAAACGTCACGCTTGCATTGCTTAATGTCACTACTCAGACTGCGTTTTTTGGTCTAAACATATGTTTCGGCATCGTCACTCGCTGAGCTGCCTCCGTTAGTTGCGGTGATTGGCTTTCCGAGTGTTGTGCGGGAAAGTATACGCACAGACTTTTTTTAGAGTGAAGCAGCTTTTACAGCAGAATTTTAGTACTGAAAGCAGAATGTTTAAAAAAAGAGGCAATCGTGCATTTGGACCAAACGCGTGGCTCTCTCTACAACACACTTCACTTCATGCACTTGGCCGGAAAAGCTAAGGATAGAAAGAGAATTCGGGAGAAAAAAGATATTGCGAAAACCGCTGAATCCACCCGGAACCCACTGGCGGAAACTGTTGCGCAAAGACGAGCGCAGAGGCCCGCTTTCCCTACGAGCGCAAAGGTCAACAGCGTCCGTGTCTGTGCGCGGGAGATCTTGAGGCTGCAAAATTATCTGCGATACGATAAGGAGCGATGAGCCGCGGTGCCGTCTCGGCAGCGACGTGATCCAAACTCTCCCTCCATCGTCTCCGCTGTCGTACGGCACGCTGTTTACGGGCACGCTGCACGACATCGCTGCGCCATGAGGCCTTCCAACGCTGGCGCAAGCCTACTCTTCCTGCTGGCGGTTGTGGGCGTTGTCGTAGCCGCCAAAGGTAAGTCTGTCCGTTACGCAGCTATTTTTATAGTCGCATTACCGAACTAGGTTCTGGGTCTCTTGCAAGGGCGTGGCGGGAAGCCGACCGCATCAATGCCGGATATGGGGATGAGGGATCACCCATCGTCTCTTCCGAAGTTCTGTCATGACCGAGACAGGGGACGTAGCACGCGCGCTAATCGGGAGTTATGGTAGCGGGAAGTTGATTGGCGTTGGTAAAGGGGTTTTACCGACCTTAGGAAACATGTTGGTGTCGTAAAAAAGAGTTCTTCAGACGTGGTATATTATTATCTGCAGAGAAGAGGCTCTCCATTCTGGACCCAGAAATGATGTGCCCAGTGTTGTTTCGCATGGAGCAGCAGACGTGTGTTCATCTAAAAACGTTTTGTGGCATAAATAGTGCGTGCAACAGGCAACGTTTCAGCCAGTTAAAACTGAATCTCTAGATGTTGAAATTGATTTTCTGAGATCATGAGATGTGTGAATTGTGAATAGAAGAAGAAAAAAAGTTATATTACCGAGACTTGATGTAGATAATAAAGATTTGGTTTGAGGTGTAGAAGAATGGATGCATGAATAGATTCGCTCTCATTGTGAAGGGTACCTTCGCAGCTGGTTTCCTTGAAAACACCCATATAGTGATATATCCGAGAAGCCACGTGACTATAACAGAAACGACGTCGTGTTTCGTCTCAGATACGCTGTCGCTGCGAGAACATAGTGCATGTCCAAAACCAGACGTCCCTCGCGCCATCCATTGTTCATTCTCATATTACACAGATTGGCACTAGGCGCCTTTGCAGTCTACAATTAGAGGAAAATTTGAATGAATGATAGCAGTGCACTTTACCAATTCCGCTCGTCTCCTAAAGTTGTGTTCGCCGCAAATAATGCGTCTATATACCGGAAGAGACGTCCGGAGCGTGTCTTATAAAATTAAAACCTAAAAAGTGTGCGATTTATCAGTTCTAAAGTAATTCCTGCACAAAACCTAGCCCTTCCTGCCAATGCCTTAAAAAAAAAAAAAAAAAGCAGTGTCGCATTTTATTTTTTGGTATTTCTTCTGAATCATCGAAGGTTGTACGCGCTCAAGTTTCGTAACCTCAAATCCTGAATCAAAAAAGCCAACAGAACTCTCTGACGTCCCGCCAGTGCGGTGGCGCTGCTGTCCCTACTGCGCATGCGTAGATGCTTCTTCTCACGCGCAATACGGTTTCTGTGCACGCGCAGTGCCCCCACCTGGTGTGTGCAAACACGCACTTGTTTATAGCAGTATGTGAGTGTACACACAGTATACCAGACTGAGCACAGGTGATTTGCTACGGTGACAGGAAAGGCGACCCAAGCGCCCCTGGACTGCGCCGAGCCGGACTGCTCGGGCAAGGACTGCAAGACCAAGACGGGCAGCGACGGCTGTCTGGTCTGCGAATGCGGTACCTCCTGTCCCACGCTGGTCTGCGGACCCGGTTGCCGTCCCGAGGTCAACGTCACCCAAGACCGCTGCCCCGAGTGCACCTGCGATGGTAAGTAAAAGAAGGGGAGAGAAGGAAAGAAAGAAAGAAAGAAAGAAAGAGAGAGAGAACAGTGTTGACCACGTTCTTCCAACACAGCAACGAAAGCTCGTTTCCTCGTTCCTTCTCAATCTTGGAACGAGTTCTCGTTACAAGTTTCAGTGGTTCGAAAGGAACGCGTTCCTGTTGCATTTTTAAATTTGAAACGTATCGCTACATTAACATTACGTTTGTAGATATTAATGCAATATTGTGTTGTATAATCCGTTGATAAAATAAAGCGAGCAATTGAAAATACCCACATCAAACTACGCGTCGAGTCACCACGATCACATTTGTTTTACTTATGCATTTTATTTCGACCATCTCTCGGACACTACGCCATCTTTCGAAGTTAGAGGTTGAAATAGACGATAATAAAAATTCTAAATGCCTACTCAATTCGGGTAAAATTGTAGATAAATAGACAAAAAAGAGAAATAATGCGGTTTCTTTTGCCGTTTTTCCGAAAGCGTATATCGAGTTCCCATATCAGTCCCACCGATGCAAGTCGAAACGGCGGCGTTCGTCCGTTCCTTCAGAAAGGAACACGTTCCAGGAACGTCGTTCCTTGGAACGCCGTTCCGTACAACACTGAAAGAAAGTGAGCGAGATGCTGTTTAGTGAAAAGACAAAGTGGTCGGGCAACACTGTTGATTGGGACGTCCTGCGGTCACAAAGGGAGAGGCAGGATAGAACGCCAAGGCAAATACTGCAAAGGATTGGTTAAAGGGACGAACACAATCCTAGGCATAAAAAAGTAGAGAAAGTAAACAGAGAGAGAGAGAGAGAAATAGATAAAGTTTGTGTAGTGGAAAGACAAAGCGGTCGGGCAACAGTGTACATTGGAACCTCCTGTGAAGGAATGAGAGACAGGGGGAAAGGAAAATGAATAAGTAAGACAACGAAAAACAAGCGTGCATATAAGAATGTCGAGAACGCGTAAATATAACAACAAAAGTATATGTAGAGTCTCCACCAATACGAAAGATTTTTTCAACGAGGCTGCTTCATGCGATTGAGCTGGATTCGCTTTTGCCGGGACAAACGTACTTGGAGTGAGAAAAGGAATGAACATTTGTACCTTTCGCTCTCTAAAACTGAAGTACCTGTGGCTGACTAGTCTACGCGCAGCACAGCCATGTAAACTGCCTATGCGAATGGGTTGTTCATATTGGGATGGAGTGTACAAAAAAGTCAAATGTTGCAGCAGACAGTTTTACGCACGCATATGCGTACATTTAATTCTAAACATACACGAACATAATACGACTAAAGGGGCAAGGCTTGCAACAAAAACTTGAAAAAAAAAAAAAAAAACCTAGAAGTTTTAGAGTGGTAATCAACGTCTTGCTAAGATGCTTAGCAAAGCTACGGAAAAAAGCAAAATTACTTTAGGAATTACGCCTACGTGGTGCGCAGAGAATTCTACGCACGCGAGGTTAAAACTGTCATTCTCTGATTTAATTTGTGCGCTGTAAGCAGCTTACGAAGCTAAGAGCCTCCAAGGCCTGCCAGTGTCCGGTATCGTTAGTGTCAAACTACTTTTTATTCTACGCATACCTGAAGCTTAGAGACAGCCACGTGAATGAGGTTAAAGCCGTCGACGCTACTGATATAATTATTGCGCTGGAAAACAACTCACAAAGTTAAAAGCAACCTGGGCTTGCCTGTGCTTTATATCATTAATGTGGCTGCTTGACCTTTACGTGCGCTTTGGGTTCGAGAGAGCGAACTCATGGCACACAGGAAACCGTGAATAAGCAAAAGCAGCTAGCACGTTTAAATTTGACACTCGATGCAAATATAACAAATCAGATGGCCTTTTTTGCTACTATAAAATATCTGCGTTGTGTTTTCGTGTATCTTAAAATTCTGTGAACCGCAGCATGTTTCCAAGCCTATGGCAACTAACCGCAGATCCTCGAGTGTCTGACCAGGGGCTGAGTACCGTTATTTTCTGGACTACAGTCGGAACCGGGTGCATAGTCCGCAGGGGCAAATTTTAGGTCACAAATAAAAGTATTCGCTTAGATGGTCCGAACGCGGTACATCATCCGCACCCCGTGCATAGTCCGCACTTAGTGCCAAGTCCGAACTTAAAAAAAGTGTGATACACAGCACACCTTGACAAATGCTTACTGTATTAGCTCACAAAGAAGCTTTATCGTACATAAATAAGCATTAAGATTGTCCTTCACTCGTAAAATCCTTCACGACTTGTCACAGTGAACGACCTAGAAAAGAACAAATCATTGTATAGTCCGCACCTCTAGATAGTCCGCATCGGATGGAAAATACGGTGCTTGCTTAAAGCATATCTGCGATCACTAGCAGGTAAATTCAATGTAGTGGTCGTCTAGACTTGTCCATTGTCATGCAATGTCCTGAACGAATGAATATAACTTTCGGTGAGGCAACAGAATCCTTCGAATTTGGCGGTGTACACGCGGCATTTATCCAGAGTAGAATAAGTACTTCATCTCGATAGAGCGTGAGCCCTCACGTTATAATTCTGTTTACTGCTCCTTCTTATATTTATTGTAACTCTTCAAAACATGCAAATTGTATGCACTCCACAAATTTATGCTCCACTGCTTAAATTTCAATAATTTTTTTTTTGCAGGCAAAAATAAAAGGCTGTAGCAATTATTGCGTCCGACGCACAAGCGTTCTAGTTTATGTCGGCTACAATTGTATTATATTTCAGAGATTAAATTGCTACTGTATCGCGTCGTGTATTGTGTTGTATGTAAAAGCTTTTTATGGCGTCGTTCGTTGACGCGGATTGTTTCTGATTGTTTTCACAAGGTAAAACTCAGTAGATGTGAGGCAGCCGAAGGCTCCGACGAATTTTCCTAACGCTTGTCGGCAATGCCCACCGTTCGGAATTTTTGCCAATCCAACCGAAGAATCCTAAAACTACCTCAATCATTTGTCACTTCAGGAGATTCTCTCGTCGACGGAGGACATCGTAACTGTCCAGAAGTTCAGTGCCCGGCAGACTGCGAGAAAGAACAAGTCATCCCTCCACACAGGTGTCCCTGGTGCCTGTGCCATCCGATCACTGGTAGTTGTTCTTTCTGTCTGCTTGTTTATGCCTTTTGATGCCACCGGAAAAGACAAAGGAACATGTTTGTGAGAACCTCCAGTCAAAAACAGTTTGGAATTAAGACGCAGGTTATTATTAACATTTTTCTATCAATCTCAATCATTTTCTTTTCGGAAATCGTAGATTTTGTTTTTCTCGCCATATTGATTTTGTTCATTTCTGCGTTTCCAAGCACACCTGCGTTTTCCTCGAACAATAGTTCACACAGCGCAATGTGTAATTTTGTAGCTAGGCAAGGAGTCGGAACCTTGTGACTGCTTTCTGTCGAGGTACGGAGCCCGACGAATTTAATTAAATAATTAGCCAGTTTTTATTTGTCTTTTTTTGCAGACGAAAGGCTTTCATCGACACTACGAATTTACCTATTTATACAACACAAACTTGGGTGATAGAGTGTTTTGTGTTCGTTGCAAGCTCTAATGTGCGAAATACGAAAAACCGTCAGACGCATTTTCACCAACTGTGTTACTTAGTGTATACGTTTTTCCTTTCTTTCCAAAGTGACCAACAGTTAAAAAAGAAGGTGGACAACAATGTTAAGAAGTATTCCATTTTCCCGTAAAGAAAAGGGAAAATTTAATCAAAATGTAAATAAATACCTTAACCTCTTCGTTTTTCTTCTATATATAACGATATTAATTTTAACAGTTCACAAAGATAGGTTTTGTAAAATAATATTTAAAAAAAAACTTTCAGCCTTTCCACTCTGGTGAAGAAGGAAGATCAGCGGAGCTGTACCATGTGCCGCCATCTATGAGCAAGGGCGGCAACCAGACAACCGGCAAGCCGGTTGTCTGGTTGTCACCGTCACTTATAGATGGCGGTAGCTGTCCAGAGGGTTGTTTCGAGATTTATTTGTCCACGGACAGGGAACTGGGGAAACAAGCCCTTAACAGCTTCGCTGTAAAAGAATATTTTTAGTATTACTGACGACTTGAAACCCCCAGCAACGAGCATTGTATAAAATTTTTGTTGCAGCCAGAAAAACGCTTGAGAAGTTCGGTGAAAGGCACTGCCCTCGGGAACTCATGGAGATGCTGTTCAGACAGGCTGACGGTCTCTTCAAGCACACTCAGATCCTGCGCGAACAACTTCACTACCAGGACCTTGCCGTCAGGACATTGGACGGCAATATCACAGGAGGTAACATTTCTAACTAATCAGAAACTAGTACAGGTGCGCGGGGTCTTGTTCTTTTTAGAGCGCCATAGTCCCCCAAAAGTTACAACTGTATTTAAAAGGAATATTTCTAACTTTACACAAGCTTACTGGCACCTATGGCACCCAAGTGTACTGGCGCGCAACGCCGCGTAATTTCAAGATTAAAAGCGGACGTTTTATTTCGGTCTTTCCTTCGCAAAATTTAATGACGAAGTTGTGGGGACTGCATTGTTGGCGGTGTCAACAATGCGGGGTTTATCATCAGACTTTGCGATCTCCGCGGTGACGATATTTAAATGCGGCTCATGCAGTTGACACGAGCACTGCGTGAGCATTCGACTGGGGCTTGTGTGACAATCGAAGCCTCGACATGCATTCGGGTAGTGGCTCGTGCCCTATCACTGCGTTGACGGGAATATAGGGACCTTGACGATTTGCGGAGCTCAGCGCGTGAGGGGGATCGGTGGCCGAGTGGTCTAGCGCACACCATCTCGGAGCACGTGGAGCGAAAGCTTGCACTGCAGAACCCAGGCATCCTGGGTTCAGTCCCCACTCCTGCTCGTTTCGATCTGGATGAGCATCGTATCGGCGTGCGGTCGTGTGTCACTAACTGCGTGGTACACTTTAAAGACCCCAGGCTAACGGTTTTACTGCATTGGCTAAATTTCTCCTCTACAGCTGAGAGACAAGTCGTTTGTTGAAGACAGACAAAATTCAAGGCTGTATAAATATAGCCACAACCATCTTTTTAACTCAGCGTGCGCCCTTTGTTTAGCCAACAACAGCGCGTGGCTATGACAAACATCGATGATTGACGGCATATCATGTGCTGCAGGTCACGTGGCCGCTTGTTCTGGTAGCGAGTTGAGGGGGTGTACGTTTTTCACTATACGTATAACATTGCATGGTAAGAAAAAAAAAAACTAATGGATGTTTTATAGGCGATGAATGTCAATGAATAACTCGAAGCAAGTTTACTGAAAGTACGAACAAGTGTGGCATCCCCCCTTTACAATATGCGGACCGTGAACGTATTCCCAGGCGATCCCCTTGCTTCCGGTCTCAAGCCAGGATGCAGCAACCCCGAATGCACTGGCAAAGACTGCAGGCTCGTGCCTGGAGAGGACGGCTGCCCCCACTGCTCGTGTGGCGAAGGTACTCTTTCCCTCTTGCTTTCTAACCTGTCCGTATTGCCGTCATCTATAAACTCTCTCGTTTTCCTGCGAATGAATGCGGGAGAACGAGGGCAGGATTTTGGGCAAGATAACTTCCAAATAATAACAAGAGGAAAAAGATATGGACCCCTGTGAATGCAATAGAGAGCTGTTCGAGTTGTCCAATGTAAGTACACTTTGTCGAAGGTAGGCGGACACACCGGTACAGGCTGCGAGATCGTTAAGAAAAAAAGCAGATCAAGCTTCGATCAAATTTTTCTGTTAAGGGGAAACACGAACTAGTGTGCAAGTAAGGAGCACGAGCGAGACATATAGTAATCTAATACAAACAAAAAGGATAAAGCATTATAGAAATGACGAGAGGGTTTATTCTACCTGCGCCGTTCTGTGTAGCTCTCAGCACCCTTGCGAATAATCCATAAATACGGAGCACTTTTTCATCCTCCTACGCGGACTCTGAAGAGGAAATAATCAAAAATATGCAGAGGTATGATCCGTATTGACCAAATGAAAAAATGGTTACAAAGCCGCCGAAAGAGAAAATGTTCGGGGGCGCCGGTATTCGAGCTGCGGGTCTCTCAATATCCGGTCGGGCATGCGAACCAGTACACTGCACCCGGAGCTCGAATTCTGGCCCCACCAAAGATTGTGTATTTTGGCCACTTCGTACCCTGTGTTGCATTCGACCAGTATGAAATCACTGAATCCAAAAAAAAAAGTAGCGCCATGTGGTTGCCATTTTCGTTTATGAAATAAGCAGTTTCTTTTTTACGTCTCCATTCTTGGTCAGCCCATCTAAATTTGCACGTGAGGGGTAGCTGTATAGAGACATTTCTTGTGTATAGTGATTTTGCTATCCGCACATTGACGAAAGCGTGCTCCTCGCACCGCCACCACATGCGGCATCGGTGCTTAGAGGCGTTGTAAAATCAATTTTCTGTCTTTAAATACGCAAGAAGAGAAATATTATAGTAAGAGATCTGTGGTGATAAGCATTATGGGTCAGTTGATTGCATACACAGTGCCAAAGACACCTTACAGTGACAAAGACGCTTTCAGTACAATTATGCTCTCTAGCGATCTTGCCGCGACTGGTTCAAAATGACCCTTTCGGAAAGCCTCGAAGATTTGAAGGGAGTGAAATGGTGATTGCCACGGCAACCGAGACCGATGAACCAATCATCTTGCGTGGTCTTATCGTCCGCATAATATTATTTGCTTGTGTCCAGCTCACAAGCAATAAAGGCAATGGCGCTACTTTCCCAGGATCAAGTTACTTTGGAGTCTAGACCAGCAAAGTTCACTCGTCTGCGTAGTTTCAAATTCAGAAAGACATGCTCGGAGGTTTGTGACGGCTTCTTTTTGGTCTTATAGTACGTGTATAATAGCATATCGCGAGATTGATACTTCAAACATAGCAAGTTCGGAAGCACGCGTTTACCACGGGACCATTTCACGTCTGCACGCATAAAAGAAGGCGACTGGGTGACCCTCCACGCCCGGCTTCAACAAAACATATTTCGGTAAATTAAAGGTCGGCCTGCATAGTTTAGAACTCGACCTTTAAATCGCGGTCACACAACTAATGCATCAAACAAAAGACTGTCTGCAGACACTGTCTCAGGCCTTCTTTTTAGGACGTCACATTGGTCATACAAAAACTGGCTGCAGACAAGTTCAAAGCATGTTTCAAGCACACCTGCTTGGAGCATGATTGAGGCTTGTCCGCAGTTTATCCTCTCATCCTGCCTGCAGGAAACACCGTGTCTTTTGTATGGTGCATGAGCAGTGCAACCTCGGCTTTAGTACCTTGTGGGGATTGAACCCCCGTCTCAGCCTCTGATGATCGGCATTAGCATCAGGGATGTCGCGAAGCCGCTAAGGTTCAAGTTGGACCAGGTTTGATTTCAGTAATATTTTTTTACGCAAAGTTCGACCGAAGTTTTACAGTTACGCGCTCACACGTAAATTGAAAACGAGCTTTCGCCGCCAAGGTGGAAAAGCGGAGCACTTATCGGATATAGGCTTCTTGCACGTGACGTCACTTCCGGTTAGACTCGAAATCGAAATCAACATCGTCGTCTGCTATCAATGCCTCGGCGCCATGTTGGAGGCATTCGGCGTCTTATCGTGGCAGCAGTACTGCCATAAAGCCACAGAACCGTCTTTGTATAACCACATTTCAGAATATTTTTTTTTGTCCTAGACTCTAGTCAATCGCAAAGAGGTTCCTCATCTGACACTAAGTTCAGTCCAGAAGCCCTTAGTTGGGGTACGAAGCTTTTCTGCCGAAATCATAAAGCTAATGTAATAACCTAGAGTGAAAGTTCCCATGCATTTGGCCGCTTCGGAACGGCGGGCATAGAAGCGGACATAGGCGGTTCCAGTTCGTGTTCCCAAAGAGCCCAAATCGCTGATCACGCCTTAATATGCACGAAGAAGCAGCAAAACATTGCCTGTAAGGGCTGTTCCTTTTGATTTCTTTTTTTACTTTGCAGAAAAACTCAAGAATTGCGCAGTGACAAAATTAAATTAAGTTGACAATCGCTCGAGCAACTTGAACTTGTCGCGGCAAAACGAACACGCCCCAACCCCTTCGACTCCATTCTTTTTCTTCTCTTTCGTCACTTTCTCGTTCTTTCTCTCGAAACCGGAGATGTTAGCTCCCAGGATTTGCCGCGTTCTGCTCCCACCTGTTAGAGATTGTGCCGGTGTACTCGTCGGAGTCATTCATGACGCCGGCAAACCGATATCACCAGCGTCACCTTGTCCTGGTTCCTAATGATTGCCGGAATTCTAGAAAAACCAATACAGCTGGCCGTAGCTCCGTTTTGTTGTCGACTTTTCTCGGCTGGAACAATTGATTACGGTGCAACTTACCATTTGAAACCTCGAGTGAGCGGACAAACTACAGTGCGAACACGGCCTCAAACCACACAAAACCTAGCATAACAGCGGCGAATGCCTCCAACGCAGATTCCGGCGGGTACGGGTGAGATTTACCAACCGGCAGTAGCGGTTCATCATGGTCTCGTGCAAGAACCATACATTGCTTTAAGTCAACAAATATATACATATATATATATATATATATTACATCAATGTATTCTTTGTCAGTCAACAAAAACTATAAAAATGTGAAGAAATCTTTCTACACATCTTTCTGTTTTAGTTCTTAGGTTAGGTGGCGCAAGCTGCCGCCCTTTATAAAGGATACAGCCATCAACATACATCCATTGGCTTCGTAGAATTTCGCTAGACGTTCGAAGGTTCGACGAACCAGGTGAACTTCAGTTTGGACAAAACTTCCCGGCATCCATATAGTTATCGGGGCGCGAGTGCGGGGCGGTGGTCCGCCTTGCAATGGTCGGCGGGTGTGGCAAACCCCAGGGGCGGTCTCGGAGGCTGAGCGTGGCGGGCGCAAGATCTGTCCGGTGCCCGGCTGTGCGGGGGAGCGCTGCCGGACGGCCCCGGGTCTGCACGGCTGTCCCGTCTGCCAGTGCGACCCGGCCTGCCCCGCACTCGCCTGCGGACTCAACTGTCAGCAGGAGACGAACGTCCCCCACGGACGCTGCCCCGAATGCATCTGCGAAGGTGCATGGCGAAACACACAACAGACCTCGCTGGAAGAAATTATTCTACCATACCCCGTTGCAGGTTAAACAAACTAGGTCAAAGTCCTCCCCGTAAAGTTCTCCGCTCTTTCGACTTCAGCGAGCGAACGTTGTAGAAGAGATGAGAGAGGAGGAGAGTCCGCTCGCCTCCTCTCCAGCGTTCTCTCTGCTAAAGTTGAAAGGGTGGAGGGCTTTTCTTAATCCGCAACGGGGTCTAAAACCTAGCACGACAGCCACGAAGACCAGCGGGCTAACGGTAGCCTAGCAAGGCCTAACCAACACAAACAAATCCGAGGCTCGGAAAAGAAAGATCCGACGGAACACAACCGAATGCCTCAGCTTTATTTATTCATTTATTTATTTGACTCGCTAGGGTAACTGACAGCTTAAAAGACAGATTATGTTCACGCTTGGTGGTTCCTTCTTGGCCGTACGTATTCACTGATGCCGCAATTCCATTAGCTGTGGATCAATAACAAGATGGCCGCAACTCGCCCCACCCCGCTTTCTCAAGCTCGCGGTGACTATGCGGAGCGCAAGTTCGTCTGCTTTTTGCGCAGAGGTAGCAATGACGTCAGAACGCCCAGCTCTAATTGGCTCCGATTGGAAAGATGGTGGGTAGACCTAAAGGCAGCTAGCACTGAAGTCTACCTACCAACCTTCCAATCAGGGCCATCAGGAGCTGGATGTTCTGACGTCACTGCAGTCCCTGCTCAAGAAGCAAACGAACCTGCACGTACGCGTATAGACTTTTGAGGCGTCTTTTTATGTATGCGTGCCTGAGTGGCTTGAAACGTGGCTAATTTATCACCATTTTCGATTGATCGATTTGGCTAAAATAGACCGTCTTCAGAAGTGAGCGCCATCTAGCACCTGTGGCGCCAATTACCCGAGCACGCCATAGTTTGGGATTATACCCTGAACTTGTATTGGACACGAGGGCTACGTCAGAGTTCGGTGAGGATTCGGATCCACTCGCACACTTCGTGCCCAAGAAATGGCGACTGTCGAGGTTGCTTGATGGGGTTTTGAAAAACGAATATCTTGGCAAGACGTTGTAAATGAGCTTTACGTAGATGTGTCTCACCCAAGGCGAAGCATTCGGGTCGCACGCTAGTGATACCCGGAACTCCAAAAACACGTTCTTCCGCTTTACAGCTGAACACGCGGTGAGCCAATAGTTGTGGTGAGCCAATCACTGAGGTCAACGGAAAGAGCTGCCTTGTCGTTCGCCGTCCTTTTTCCCTAACCACGGCAATCGGCACTCGAGTGCTTTGCCGGGGTGTGGACGTACAGGAGTATTCTAGGCTGCATTTTGATTCAAACTTTTCAAACGCATTTCAGTTCTAAGGTCCAAGGACAAGGATGTCAAGAACGCGTTAGCAGACAAAGCCCACCGTGTGCAGAAACGGAAAAGCCAGAAAGACGACAGCTCGGAAGAGAGCAAAGAATCTGGTACGTACAGCATTCCTCCCATCCTCATCGTTTCCGAAAGGGCCGTGCCACACTTTATATCATTGTATTTAAATGTATTTTTTGGCATGTGAAGTATCTCTTCGTAGCAGAAAAAGAGCGTCGTATAGTGCTTATGCTCACGAACGTGCTCTATTATCTCAACAAAAGTGCATAATAAAAAAATAGGATTAGTTTTGTGTGTGTGTGTGCCTAGGCTATTTGTGCGGACTTTCATGACTCTCATATTAAAAATAGCGCAAAAAAACGGTACAAAAAGACGAAGAAGCACACAGGACAAGCGCTTAATTGTCTTGTTTGCTTCCTCGTCTTTTTGTCCCGTCTTTTTTGCGCTATTTTTAATATGAATGTCAATTACCAACTTGCCCAGCAGACCAAGCTTTTACAATACATTTTATGACTGTTTCTTATTTTTATACATTGCAATAGCGGCATGGCTATTCAGACGTAACAAATTTTTTGTGCGCTACATACTGATAAAGGCACGCTCTCAGGCCAATAGTTTATTCACCTGGCGCGTGCTGCAAAGTTTCAGCATGATTCTCTGTTCCTTAAATATATTTCACAGCGAGGCTGTGGCCGAATATTTTTAAACATCTGAGTATTTCACCGAGGAATCATTTGTCTTTCCTTCATATAGACGAGAAGAAGTCGCACAGCGTGCAGAGACGCCACGGTGACCGCGATGACAGTTCCGAGGAAGCAGGTACGTCCGTTAAATAGGCGTCGTGAAGCCCCGCTGACCCCGGTGACGCGGAAAATACGACTTCCTGTCTACGTGACCGGAACCAACCTTCCGTACGCCAACACGGTATTAGGGACCGTAATCTCGCTGTACCGTACCTGTGTGCACCTGTGTGCCCCACACGTACGGGTCCTCTGGTAAACACGACATGATTAAGAAATAAAAAAAAAGAAAAAAAAAGAATACCAGTTGGCGCACCGTGTTCGAAATTGTATTAAATTAGTTTATTATTAACCGTAAGTGAATGGCGCACTTTCGCTTGTCTGTGAATGTCTCGCTCTATCAAGTACTCGACGAGCATTTACTGAAATGCGAGATGAATCATGGAGCATTCGCGACGTAACCTGCCCCCGAAACAAAATCCTGGCTACTTGCTGGCATTGCACCAAATATTGCGCTTTAAAATCTCACGCGCTTCTGATACCTCTTGATTCGTATTCTAACAGGATCGTAGTGCGTTTATTGACCGGTATGTTCACATCGGCATTTTTTGGTACGGCATAGTTCTACTGGGCAAACATAAGGAAAATACTGGTCACAGACGATCTTACAGGCTTGTGTATAAAAAAAAAAATTGATGAAAGAGCGTTGTTTAATTAAGGTTATTTAAACCACCAAGAGTTCACATCTTTCGCATTATTTTGCTGACAATTATTTTGAGCGGATATGCCTTAAATTCCTCTGATTTGAAAAAAGGAGTTACACTGTGTGATAAGACAGACAGGAGCATCGAACAATCGAACAAAGTCAATATTCGGTTTCACACATTGCATGTACCCAAGCGCGTGAAATTAGCTTTTCATAATATTAAGAACTGTACTACATTTCCTCAATCGATCGTGTCCAGTGCTGACTAAGTACTTCACACGTTCTTCTATATTTTTTTTTATTGATTAGATAAAGACAACGTTGGAGAAGCAGCGAGCACCACGTCGCCACTGACGACTCTCAAAACTGACTCGGGATCCCGAAGACGACGTTATGATCCCCTGGGACACCTCGGAAACGACACGCGCCCACGGGTTGCAAGGCGAGTCGACCACACCGACGATGTCCTTAACGTCACCGCTCAAGTACAGCGTACGTATTTTTTCACTCGGTGTAAAAAACGAATGTCAGAATAGCCACTGTAGAGTATCTGACCCATAAAAATGTACCGCGATTCATTTTTGTTACTAGTCGCATTTGAAGGCGAGCAAACCTTCGCGAAGCGCTCGTTGAAATAGCGGCCGCCGAGTTCAAGTGTCAACAAATGTCTCTACTAACTCGTCGAACGCTGGCGCCCGGCTTTCGGCGTTCGCGTTCGAAAGCGTCCGAGCAGTGAACGCGAAAAAAGGCAGCTAGCTTCGGGTTATAACGGTTATAACGAAGTCAACGGGAATCGGAAATCACTTCTCTGTAGCCGCTATTTCGTTACAACCGACTTCGGTTATAACGAAGTGCAAAAGGGAAAGGGAAATCGTGATCGCTTCGCTATAGCCGCGATTTCATTATAACCGACTTCGTTATAACCGGTCTCGACAGTTATCGTTCCAATCAGAGCTCGGCCCTCTGGCGTCCCTGCGCGCTCTCTCTCTCTCTTTTTTATGCGGAAAGTATGTTTTAAGATAGATCTTTGGCGCATCAGAACGCACGTTAATCAAAGAGCAGGGAAGGCGCGATCACGAGGCAAGCAAGCGCGCGTCGTCCTTGGTTTAGGTCGCGGGGAAAACAAAAGCACGTGGCCGCATTCGGAGGGCAAACAGACCCACGAGGAGAGCAGAGAATTTGCACGCCGTATAGGCGCGGACAGTTTAGAAAACGCGGGGAGTAGCAAGTTTCGAGAACCTTATTATTATCGCTCTGGAGCCGATGACATTGCTTCATTAGCTGATAAGAACGCTGAAAAAAAACATATCAGAAAGGAAGATACGCGAAAACGACAAGCCGTTCCCGGTGTCTCTCAAGCTGCAATGACCATAATCTGTAGCGCAAGTAGTATCTTGAGACAGGAACTTTTTTTTTTTCGATTCAAATTGATTCGATTAAAATATAAAACATCTGTACATTTCTAAAAAAAAAAAAAATGGTAACCCGATGTCGGCACAGATCGGGCTCAGTTATTTGAGTTTTTAACGCGCTAGCCGAGTGCGCAGTGTTGTTCATAACGTGCGTCGCATAGTTTCACCTTTAAAGCGAGACGCCGTTCCTGAAGCTGGTCAGGTGCAGTGCGTGGTCCCCGTGTGCGAACCCTACTGCAAGCAGAGGCCGGCGGAGCACGGCTGCCTGGTGTGTGACTGCCCGGACGTGTGCCCGGACATCGTGTGTGGCGCCGGGTGCCAGCCCTACTTCACGGACGCCAGCAGATGCGAGCGATGTGTCTGCAATCCACATGCGGGTATGCGACCTCGAGAACATTCCTAGCTTTGTAAGCAATGTTTTGAGATACGATGAATCATCCTAGGTATTTGGTAGAGATATTTTTTTTTATTGAAGCATGGAAAGATGAATCGGAGTTTGCTCTCTGACTTGCTACTGCATACACTCTAAGAAATGCCTGTGCGTCTACTCTCCTGCAAAACACTCAGAGACAATCTTTGCGATCTACGGAATCAGCTCAGCGAATGATGAGGCGGAACATCTGCTTAGACCTCAAAAGTAAGTCTGCGCTGTGACATTACGCAATACAAAGCGTCATGCTTGCATTGCGTAATGCAACAGCGCAGACTTAATTTTGAGGTCTAAACAGATGTTCCGCCTCATCATTCGCTGAGTTGAGTTTGTAGATCGCAATGATTAGCTATTCGAGTGTTTTGCCGGTAAATAGACACGCAGGCATTTCTAGAGTGTAGGGAAAGGCAGAGGAAATACAGGCGTTTAATCCTAGTTTTAAAAGCTTTCATACTATTGCTTAAGAATTTCGCATCATATTATGAGTGTGAAGAGACAACTTGACGCAAATAACTAGTGTGAAAACATTGAATTCGACGACGGCCTAGAAACGAATTCATCTAGATCATCACATAGTTGTATTTTCTCACTGAAGTATACGTATATAAAATGTACTGATAAAGTTTGTTTCTAAACAAACAATTCACGTTACTTAATCTTGAAGCACGTCATGCCAATTAGTATTTCTTCATGTCGCGAACCCGCCTACTAGCAACGACTTAATTATAGTGCCACATGCCATGCTACACAGAATAAATTGCACCAATTACTCGGTGTTAACGTTTTCGCACTTCGATAACAATACCTCATATTATACGTGTTTGGCATCGCGCAAGTCCAGTGTTATCTGGTGTTTCAAACGCTCTACCCTCGACCTCGATTAAGAATGCGGGATATGATGGGATTTTGGCAAGTTGTGGAGCGCTTTGACTGCAAACAACAGCTTGCGTTTGGTTATCTTTGAGCATTTCTACAGTAAATTAGCTGTCCAATAACGATCGCTTCAGAAAGCCTCTTAAGACTCAACGCTTTTATTTTTTGTTCAGTGAAGTAGCTACCTTAATATTTTAGAAGTGGGTATTTAGTGGCCGATAATGGAGAGGAACAAAGGTCGGTGACCGTGTGTTTTATACCGAAAGCTAGCTCCGCAGGCTCAGATAGCACGGTTTTGTTCCCCGGAATAACCCATGTGCCACGTCGCACGATGGTCTAGTCATCATCATCATCAATATTTTTGAACGCACATCATTTATGATTTTTTCGAAGATTTGCATATGTCCGTTCGCTAAAATATAACTTCCCACGAAACGACATTTTGTCGTCCCGTGTTGCAAGGACAGCAGTCGTCAGAGTCTCCTTTTAATACTAATGTCACACAATAAATAATAAGATCCGCACATCTTTCGTTTTAGAATAATATAAAAATATTGTAGTAGTAAGCAGGCGCATGTTATGAAGCTCGTTCTTTTCATTGTATAAAAGCACTTAGCTTGCTCTTAGTATAGCATGGCCTCCAAAATTTTTTGCGCGCTGGCTGCGCTTCTCGGACCGTTTCATTCTCCGTTAGGGACCGTTACTCTGGGGCGCTTTGTGGCTTTCGCAACCAGGCCAAACAATGCAAAGAAAACAGCCGCGAATTATTATCATCACCATTATCGTCGGTCTACGGAAGTTAGGAACAGTGCGAAATGTGCTTCCCATCTCTCGCCGCAACACACATACCTTTGGCAAGGAAAAAGTCAGAAATTTGAACGTTTATCTTTCTAAAGCGCGAAAGGTGTAGAACAAATGTCCGTGCACATACGTGAAGTTCAGACAGCTGTTCCCATGCATGACGACAAAACATATTTCTACGCTTGTCCCGCCAGCCTAGACAGTATCTGCAGAAGACAAATACAAATACGGATTAGAAGAATGTATAGTTTTGGCGAGTTGGTGGGACTTCATCGCGTCGTAGTCATCTAATGCTTCCGTGGCATGAAGGGTCGTTTTCGTGTGTCTTCCTAACAAAATTCGTCAGTTAATAGCCAGCGTTCGTCCCGTTTGTTTCTTCTTCGTCTACGTCTTCGTGTTTTCGCACTTTTCCACGATGTATAGATTCTCACTACATCTTGCACCCTGAGGTATCAGTGAGCGAAACAGCGCAAAGACTGAAGCAGCGAATTAAAATTACGAATCACCAGAAATTTACTTGTCTCTATTCTGATGATGAGAACAATGCAAGTTTCGTGCCGCGGGCTCACACTTGACAGCGTGATTTGAGGCGATTCTGTTCTTGTTTTTGGTTTGCTTATAAGCGCCCCCACGCGGAGATTTAGAGAACTGGCTCGACTCACTTTTTCTGCTGGGCAGCCGAGCGTGGGAAAAATCTCGGGGGCCATGAGTATAGGGGAAGTAATGCGCCCGACTGATGATATGCCCATCAACGAACTTCTTAGAAAAGGCCTCAAGAAACTAGTACGGTGTCTTGAATAAATTCATGTGATAAAACTCGTTCTTCGATATGTAATAATCTGCTTGTACTGCAGGGCGCGACCAAATGGCAGACGTGTTCGCTTCGTACTGCTCGGAGCCCACTCTGCATAGGATGATCGCCGACTTCGGTGCTTTAGAGAGGATGATGCATGATGTGCAGCAGCAGAGCTTCCACCATCAGCACCTCATCACCAGGGCCGAGCAAGCCCGCGGCATCCATGGTACGCTGGGTACCGCGTAACTTGACCCTGTTTATCTTAGGGTCCAGTGAAACTTCTAACTTTTTGCTGGACTTCCTTTCTGGACGTTGTGTTATGAATTCTGTGCTATAGTTCGGAAAGCCTGGGCTAGGAGGCGCAAGCCACAGCCCAATTAGAAGGGCCGTTAATTATGTCTGGTTAAAAACAGCAACTTTAGGTAACGTAAACCAAGCGATTTTGGGCATATGACGCATAGTTTACCATATGTGCGAGTAAACGTTAAAAACAATATTGTACGGTTGGGAAATGGGCCAACTGTAGGGCCCTTTAGAAGTTATCATTGATTTATATTGTTTGTTCCTTTTTAAGAACCTTTGTGTGAGAGCGACCGAACTGGTCGGAAACTTTGAACGCGTGAAACGACGCTACAATTTCAGCCCTCATGAAAATAAAGTCGTTCTTTCTACCGTATGACGAAAAATGGCCAGAGGAAATCGACTATGAAATTGCTCCGAACTTCCGTGCGTCTTTGAAACCCAGCATTTTTTTTTTTTTTTTTTACCATTCAACGCATTCGTTATTTTCGTCACGGTTTGAACGAAGCGAAAGTCGAGCTATATTTTATTCCCCATCCATAAAGCTTTTTTAAAGTACGCTGCTCACACACTCACACAGACAGACAGACACACACACACACACACACACGCACACACACACACACAAAGAAATGCATACAAAGATGAAACTCAGGAATGCAAGCGTAAGGACAAGTTACAATTGAGGTCATAAGACGACGTCAGGGTAACACATACCCTTTCTTGGTATTAAACGCTCGTGTCCACCACCTTATTTCTCAGCCTTGGTGCTTTCTTTTACGGCTCACATTACGTAGTTAACTAAAACTCGTCCCATAAGTGACATGAAAAAAGTGTTAACAGTATACTGGCTTGATCACTTCAACTTATCGTTGTGCAGCGAACTTGACAGTACGGTACACATACATTCGCACCTTGAAACAGTAATTTATATCGAGCAATAAAGAAAGGCCGAATAAATAAAATGTACACAAGACGCTTTTTGGGTGCACTGGCACTGAGTTGGAACCCTCAGTATACCAAACAATACGCGAAGCCCCTAGCTGGTCTACAAATTCGAAGGAGAAAAAAAAAAAAAAAAGCAAGAACGATACAAGAGCTAGACTCTCTGATGTCACGCCTAAGCGGTGGCGCTGTTGTACCTACGGCGCATGCGCAGAAGCTTCACTTCACGGCAATCTGGTTTCTTCGCAAGTGCAGTGCCCACAACTGGTATGGGCGAAGGCAGGCTCATTTGTCAGCAGCGCCTTTATTGTATCGAGATAGCCACGGATGACTTTGTATCTGTAATGCGATCTTTGTGCTTTCTTCTTCCGAACTTCTCTCGCAGGTCCTGCGTCGGAAGAGCTGAAGGCTCTCTTTGCGAGGCAGCAGTACGAGAGGCATCACGAACCTCACCGTCCGCAACACGCGCACGTGACTCCGTTGCCGCACCAGCCGTACCAGACCGAGGAACCGAGCAAGCCGCCCCACAGGGCCCACAAGAAGCACGGCGGTCGTCGTGCCAAGCAAGACGGCAACCGCTCGTCATAAGGCGCACGGCACATCGCCTATACTGCCGCCCTCCGTGTTCAGTGTTCCACCTCCGAACATATTCGTTCTTAAGACGAAAGCTGACCCAGTTGCACGGTTTGAATTCCTCACTAAAAGCGAAAGATGTGTAAGCCCACAATACGAAAGACCCATTCGCCGGGGCAGTTTATGCGGCGGTGCTAAGCACATTTGTTTCTCAGAGGAACTATACTTTTAGAAAAATTATTTTCTTACCCCTGGCAATGTGGACCGGCTAAGGCGAATCCAGCAGAGGCCCCTTAAACTGCCCCGTTGAATGGGTCTTTCATAAAATTGGAGACTGTACATTCGCCTTCGATATGACGGTGAACACGCGAGCATCGGTCCTATCGGCGCGGCCAGCGCCTTGAAGCGGCAACTTAGCAAATAAAACGACGGTTGGTACTTTGCTTTTGCATCTTCACGTCTCTTTTCTGCGCATGCGCTTATGACGATTGGCCGCCGCTCGCTTGTTCTTCATCGAATTGGGGACGACTGTAGTCGAGAAGAAAGGAGACAACAAAGGAGACACAATGGAAGTTGGAAGGCTAATTCCGAGGAGCACTGTACACGCACGCATTTCATGCGCAGAGCGGCGAGAAGTGCGGGTATTCGCTATATAACTCTGATACATAGTATCAATAAATTTCTTTTATTATTTTTTTTTTTGCGATGCTGGGCATCAGGCTTTTTGTATCGCAGCCTTGTTTTTCTTTTTCCGCTACAAGCCTGGAAGCATGAATCCTGAGTTGGCATGCCATGAAGTGCATTTAATAGATTATAGGGTACACAAGAATAAAATAAATAAAAACTGCTTGTGTATATAAGATTGTCATCCGTTGTGTATCTCTCCATCATGACTATCACATAGCGTTTTCGTCGTCTCTTCGGTCAATGATCCTAAAGTTCGTGTCGGTATGATAAGCCACGTTTAGGGAAGCCATCGGTTATTTTTTTTAGGAGCGATGATAAAATCTTCCATCCCCTGCGTACGTGAGCACTGCACACATCGACCTTTGTTCTCCGGTATCTCGCACTAACACCCAAACCTTTCAAACTACCAAATAAAACCGACGCTTTCCAATCCGCTCTTGAAAACACAACTACAAGAGAAAGAAAGAAAACAATAAAGAGGAGAGGAGTAAAGAGAGAGGGGGGAGACAGAAAGGAACGAGAGAAAAGAGAAATGGGGCAAAGTGAGGAGCGGTGAGGAACAATAGGGAAAGAACGGGACGGGGTGGTTCCCCTTTCCACCACCAGATGGCTCAACATGTGCGACCGAGCGGCGCCCGCCCAGTCAAGATGTCTGCCTGGACGGCGCTGCCGGGAAGCTCCGCTCTCAGGAAAATTATCGTCCCCGCTTGCTTCCTGCACGCCGTCGGTGAGTACAACCGTTTGGAACGCCACTCGGAGACACCACACTTGCAGCCAGAACAAAAGGGAGGAGCCCCGAGCTCGATCTCACGTCGCGTGCACGTTCTTCTAGCCGTCGCGTACAAACTCGCGAACTCGTTAGCGCAGCTGAGCGTGTGTTGGGAAACTCGGGAGAAACTTTCGCGTGGGTAGGCTGATTTTGTTCTGAGCTCCTAGCGACGGTTTCGAGCTAGTGTTCGAGACCACGCCCACTTTTGAAGGAAAGATCCGCGACCTCTTTGAAAGTCGTCCAGTTCTTCGACGCCGACAGGGCTCGATTCAAACTTCGTCTTTGCTCCGTCGGGACGCTGATCGTTTGTCCTACTTACTGCGCGACGAGCGAGCGAGAGAGCGAAGCGGTTTGAAAGCCGGGCGCGCGCGATCTCGGGAGAGAAATATCGGCTGTCTTGGGCACTACTCACTCTCGAGTGTTAATCCTAGCTTGTTTTGTTTGATCGACGTCGTGCCTCGTTGAACGCTAATCAAATAAGCGCGCTGGATACAATTAAAAACAAAAACGCGCGAGTTTTGTCGCGTGTCTATTGTTAGAAACTAAACTGTTGATAATTGTGGCTTTTCACAAAAACATCCGGCTTTTTTTTATTTTTGCTGCAATATAGCTATATGTAGAGAATCCATAATTTCGAACATTATTAAGGAGACAGCTGGCAGCCGTGGCCGGTGTCGAAAACCCTATTATTCCGAAAAGATAGCGCCTCAATAGAGCAAGATAAAAAAGAAAGGGTAAAAAAATAACGTATTCAGGAAAAGCTTTCTTCTTTTTTTCAATTATGTTCGCACGCACTCCACGTCAAGCACCGCACCCGGCCGCCGTGGACGCATAGATAAGGCTCAACGAAGCGCTTTATTATTTTTTTCCTTCATACTACGCCTGTTAATCTCGCTAACGCAAGCATCTGCTTCCAAAGGCAAAAAAGCGACAAACAAAAAAATACTCAGATATGCAGAGAGCCAGGATCGACCGGGTAGGGATGATGGACAACGGTGTTTGTGAGGTGATTTTTCTCAGCGCTGTCGCTCTCGTCAAGAAGGCAGCCTAGCTGTTTCCGGACTGGAAGTTCGCTCAACCCGCCACGACGATCGACCCGATCCGTTTTGGGGTCCGATAACTCGCCGCTGAAGCTCCCGCACTGGACAATGGCACGCCGTGATCGTCGAAACACACTCACGAAAAAAAAGAAGGAACAAATTGGGAGGACAATGGTCAGGTAGAGAATAGGGGGCTACGTTTGATCGGTCGCTGTATGAATGCTGGTGACGGTTACCAAGCAACCGAACGACCCGTAACGAAATTTTGTTTTGTTTTGTTATGTGAGATTTGATATTGTGTTGTTTGAGTTTCGTCTAAACATCAACACGAGCTTGCTCGGCTCCTATTCGTTGCTTATGTTGCCTGCCGCGTTGCCATAAATAAAGGACAAGTGAGCACGCGTAGACTTGATGACATAATTCGGCCTCCAACAAACTACAGTCATGTCTCGATAACACGGACCCCATGAAATACCCTTTATATAGAGAACATTTTGGTGCACGAACTGGGCAGCTACATGCATGTTTGTCTCGTTATTACGAACAACTCTCATTATGGACGCTTTTTCTGGGGGAGCGGATGTGTCCACATTAACGAGACATCGCGATTAAAAAGCGTACCACTCTCGTTAAGCCGTCATCGGTCGTATCGCTCGCGTCCCGGTGCCCCACCGGAGCTCCCGCATATCGCTATAAGCCGGTCAGCTATATTTAGGTGTCTAGATTTTGCCCGAGCGGACGGCGTGAATCACCGACCGTAAACACGTCCGACACCTCGTGGAGCAGAAAAAGACCCATGACTCAATGCCTCTCTCCCCCGCCTCTCCCCCTAACTGAACGTGATCTCTTTACTTAAGGCCACCTTCCTCGAGCATCATTCGGAAGCAGTAAAGGGACTTGATCTGAATAAAGACTGCCTTAATCTTTAATCGAACATCACTCAATTCAATAGCTGCGTGAGGGGTCGCTCATCCTGTGTAAGACGCGTTGCTTCCGATGCTCTTCGGCAAACATGGTGAGTCGCGAACATACGGGAATCAGTGAGACGAGACACGGAAGCGCCGAGCAGCGGAGGCCGCGGACGTGTTGTTTGCACACGTAATGGTTACCCATAAGAGCCGGACGCCTAGGATCCAAAAAAAGTGTCACCCGAGTGAGGGTTTTGCCTGCTTCGAGCAAATTTCCTTAAGTGTGGTCCTAGCGTCCCGGCGTGTGTTCACGCGCGTCGTTTGCAGTTTTTGGAATCAAAACTAACCAATGCGTTATTTCGCGCTCCTTGTTCACAGTTTTTTTTTAATCAAAAATAATTATTGCGTTTTTTTAGCGCTTCTAGGCGACCCGCGTGACCCAAAAGATTGCTGTGGTAGGCATTTCACGATGGGAGAAACTACTATTACGTCTTTAGTCGTATTAATTTTGGTTTCATCGACGCAAATACCGTCAACTTCAACGTTGTTGCTTCAAGAATGCGTTGACTCCAATCTTCCACCGTGCTTTTTTTTTCACATTACGGAGTTGGTTGTTAGCAGCTGACGATAAGAGCCAGGATTACAACTCGTGACGTCACGGCGAGGAAAATCCTGGTCGTGACATCATGGAAAGGAATCAGTAGAGGGCGCCACCGAAACATCGCGACGCTCATATAAAGCCAATACCAGAATAAGAGCGGCCGGGGATATCCTTGAAACGTCCCCGCCTCCAGCGCGTGCTTCCTCTTTTTCGATAGCACTTCGGCGTCTCGTGAGCTTCGAGCGTGCACGCGCAGCCAAAGCACAATGGAAGGCGACGCGCGCGTGCTGGAGGCCGGGCAATGAACAGAGACACCCTGCGTTTATAGGTCTGTCAGCGACTATGCGAGTAGAAGCTGAGGGAGAGGAGGTAACGAGAGCGCGGAGGAGACGCCAGAACGTCATGCTCTGACTGGAGGCATTAGTGGGTAGAGGCAAAGCAATGTTTCTACTACACTGTTCGAAAGCGTTAAAACGCGGAGCGTCGGAGTCTGGCGTTGTTTCAACGCCAGGCGAACGCGTTGTTTCCTCCCCCTCAGTTTCTGCCCGCATAGTCTCGCCATGGAAAGTTGTGTTTCTATTATTTGAGATTTTCTTTAAACCTTTGATCATTCAAAACAAAAGTGTCTGTTGGTAGACCGGAGAGAGAATTGCTGAAGTTAAGAAATACGCCTGCCCACACGCAATCTTCGAAGTGAATTGGCGAGCTGAAAAGCTGTTGCAACTACAAGGAGATAAATAGTGCGAAGGAAATGTAATAATTAAGTTTTTGTTCACTGCATTGAAAAACCGTGAGCAGCGTGTCAAGGCGCACACTGGAACGTTGAACACGCAGTACTTGTGTGAGCGACCTCTCGTATTTTCAGTTCGGGCTGGATATTCGTAAGTTATCAACAACATATAAATTGAACACGAGATATAGAATATTATTTATTACAGAGAATACCAACTACGCCTGATTAACCGGGTATTCTCTGGTGGCGTCGGAACGATTCCAATTCTATTGTACTTAATGTGTATCCACGCAGTATGACATAAGAGCTGCTATAATTACAACATAACTCACTCTCTGCCGATTTCGTTTAATTGAAGTATCGTAAAACAATGTCGTACTTCGGTGGCTAAATCTTACCTCCGCAGATGTTGCATCGAACGCCATAGTTAAAGCGGACTAATTTCGCGCCATGAAAATATTTATTAAAGATACCCGCGTCGCTCAAAAGTAACCTTTCGTTTGCGTCCTTAAAATTATATGTCTCGCATGCCACACAAAAAAAAGGAGTTAGGTAAGTAATTTTTACAAACTATTTCCCCAAGTTATGCCTGAGACATGAAACACGAAAATATCCTGACAATGCATAAGTATTTAACTGAAGGTTCCTGATAGAAGTGTGGTTTAAAAATATTTGTTACAAATACCAACGATTTTCAACTTTATTAAAACGAAAACGAATTATTATTATAGCTCAGGTGGATTTATAAGACAAATAAGATAGTTCCATCTAAAGCACGGACATCTCAAGAACAGTTTCTTTAAGCCAGGCGACTCGCAATGCAGAACATGCATGTCAACGTTTTAGCGTGCAAAGTTTCTACCGGAGCAAACTTACCTACGGCTTTTTTTTTTTTTTTTTTTCATGAAAATGATATTGTAGCAGACATCTTTGCAAATAAGAATCACCTAAGAGCAATTAGACGAACAAAAATAGAGCAAGTCGCTTCACTTGTACTTCCGCACAGCTCATTATAAAGAAATAAGTCGCCTGCCCCAAAAAATAATCTCCTAAATTAAGAAGACTTTTATAACCAATCAGTGAAATAGCACAATTTTACTCCTAAACAAGTGCTATTTTTGCAAACGTAAACTGGGACAAGTTCCGTCCCGTTCACTTGCGAGCGCTAGAACATCAGCAAACGCAAATAAACAATTTTGCGTTTCTAACGCCTCTTGAATATCCTGTCATACCATGAAAGATCTGTATAAACTATAAGAATGTATTAAAACTGATGCTTGTTCGTGGTGTTTGCTAATTTTTTTTAATGCTATGGCAGCTTATAATAATAAGTAAGACATCAGGAAATATGCATCTCAAAGTTGTTGACACCTAGCTCACCATTTCAACAATAGTATGAAAAGCTAAAAGCCATGAGCTCAGAACAAATCCTGAGTATATTGAACATAGTTACTGCCGCAATTCTTTTCGCCATCAAGCTTGACGTATGGATGTACTGGGTGTTTTACAAAATGTGATACTAGAAGCTCAAAAATAAGACAAAGGGAAAATTAAAAAAAAATAAAAAGAAGTTTGCCAGGGTATCGCGATGAAAGGAATATTCGTTTAGGAGCCGACGAGTTTTTTTTTAGACATGGATATACCTACAGCTCTCAAACACCCATTGAGAGTAATAA